ACCATCAGTGCACGGAGTGTTCAAAAAATGCAGGGCAGCATGATCATGGACCCTCAAAACCTACACCTTTGAGTTTGCATGTGTTTCATTTCGTCGCAATTGAAACGAAGAGGTCGAGTGCGCCTTGAAACCGGTGCGGCCATGAGAACATGCCAGAGTTTTGACTCCACCGCGCTTGCATCACCGACGCTTGCATTGTTCTCTCTCTCGCGCACCCCATGTTCCGATGCTCCGAGACGGATCATCGTTCTGGGGTCCACCATACCAGCCAGCGAATTCAGATCGTGAAAGGGCGTTATTGTGTTTTTTGGGTGGTTTGTTCTTTTTGGCATGTTTTTGTTTGTTTTGATGTCTATCGGTTGGTTGGACTTCGGTCTTCGGTGTTCGGTATGCCTGGTAGAACGGAACGGATCATGCCCTTCAACGAACGCCTAAGCGACGAAGACCTATTGAAAAGATTCAGTGAGGCGACCAAAAGAGGCGGTCAGACCGTGCTGGCGTTGGCGTTGATACGTTCAGTGCAACTTCGGGTGCAAAATGGGCACCTTCGAACTGAAAAAATCTTGGCCTTCAAAGAAAGGTTGACCTGGTTTTGTAGCGTACACGCACAGTGAAACTTGCGGTTGTGTGGCAAAAAACCATTAAAGCCATGCTTGCCAGGGTGAACCATCTCGGCTGGATGTGATTCTTGACTAAAAGCATCGGTTGATTCTGAGCACATGGGCACTCCTCCCATGGGCACTCCAAGTTGCTGTGCAACCCCCAAGAGGGGAACACATGAGAACTACCCCTACCAGCACCTCCAACAGGTTACCAATTGAAACCTCTTAGGGCCTAACAACCCTCCATTTCGGAGACCTGTAGGGATCCAGTCGTACCTTCTCAGTTGGACTCTCTAAACCTAACAGTGTCTCCAATCACCAAACCTGAGAAGGCCACTGCCCTGGGTGCTAGCTAGCATGTCAAGGCATGGCTGAGTGGACAAGTGCCCTCTGCCATCAATGTCCGGCAAGCCATCGATCCCTATACCTGGTACCATCCAAGGGTGCCCTGTCTGGAAGCCTACAGGTACATCGTGCGATAGTCCATGGTAGTCTATTGGGCACCCAAACAGCATGGTCCTGGAGATCGGTTTCACTCCCATCTTTGCTTCGTCCGAGTCAGACCTCTAATCATCAGACCGTCTCTCGATCAGTGTGAAACCATTGAGTGTGTGCAGTTTGCGAGCGCGTTCGTCTTGATCGATGCATCTTCAGCCTGGCGCGCGCCGCGATCTCTCATCTCGCGTGACGGTCGCGCGAGTCTCACGCTAGCTATCACGCATGACTCGTGAACTCGTCGAACTCCCAAAGAACTCCCAAGCAAATGGGGATCCGGTCGTGAAAAAGGTATCCCAGACGCTCCATGGGACTGCATATGCCGCCCCAGACAGACCCCCCTGGCACCACCCCTGGCCGTTTTGAAGGCAAACATTGCATGGAGCGTCTGGGTATGAAACAAGTGGAGCCCGAGCAGTCCACGGTAGACCGACACTTCCGGCGGTTCGTGCCCAGCATCCCTCGATCGCTGCGTTTTGAAGGGACGTCGCAAGGAAAGGGCCGGGCTTGGAGATGAAGGCATGGTTTTCCTTCAAGCACGGGGGGGGGGGGGGTTGGGGGGGGTTCACGCCCAAATTCTTGAATCTACGGAAAGATCGGACCCCCCAACACCACCTGTCCCAGGTTGAAAAAACCCGGCTTCCACTGGAACCGTCCAATGGGAGTTCCTCTTTCCCCCCAGGTCTCGCAGGGCGAGTGTCTGAGAGTTTCGACGCCGGTGGATCGATCGGAGAGTTTCCGAGGATCAAACATCACCATCGGAGCCTCAAAAGAGGCTCATCACCGAAAGCTTTCTCTTCGACTGGTTTCCGGTCTCCGACGTTGAATGGGACTGACGTCGATGAGCCCGACGAACGACGTAGGGGAAGGCTTCATCGACTCGGGCACGGACGACTCGACCAGAAAAGACTGGGGTAGGGCTCCCAGGCTCGTTGCAGGGGCCCGAGAACGGGATGCTTGGCTCGTTGCAGGGCGAACGTGATTGGCTCGTTGACCGCTCCCATAACAACGACCTCTCTAACACTGCTGTTGATCAAAACGATCAGGCGATCCGGTCTGGTTGACTTGGAGTGAATTAAGTTCAATTGATTTTTTATATATTTTTTTCCGGAAGGATCCTAAGAGAAAGCAGGGAATCATAGGTATATAGTAATAATGGTAATACCTGAACCCTCCGTCGTAGCATCATTCCACCATGTGTGGTCTTCAAGTCCATTCCCCTGCCACATGCTGGCACCCATCCCATGCACACACAACACACGCTCACACACTACGAAGCGGCAGCCAGCAACCCCTTTCTTTGATCTTCAGTATCAACATAAAAGATTTAAGCAAAAACACAATCCGCCACTTTTTAAAATTGCGCCCGGGTTGCGGGAATTTGCGCCCAAGTTGCGGGCAGCACCCTTTTTGGAATTGTTGTAAAGCACGCCCAGAAGGTTAGAACCAAACCTTTTTGGTTTCATTTGCACATAGTAGGAGAGGTCATATAGGATTTCCTCCATAGGGCCCCCCAAAGGCCGACAAGGGTTGATAAGGACACTGGTCAGGAACCAGGCTTTAGAATTAACACCAAAAAGCGTTCATATGTCCTGAACAGTGTACATACCCTCAATTAACGCTCAAATTTCCAATAAGTGCTCCGAACCATGGTTCGCCAGAAATAAGTGTTACAAAGGATGCTTCAGGTAGTAATAATAATCATATTCTTCTTCTTCTTCTTTGGTAGTTTTGAAGCCCGGTTGCTTAAAAGAAAAACATAATAACATCCGGGACATACCGTCACGGTCTCATCAACCAAGCGCTGCGCGCGGTCCACCGCGCTCTACCCATCTTTTGATTCCCCATGCCATCACTCGTTTCCACGCTCCTCGAGTGAAGCCAACGCTGGTCGCGGTCGCGTCCGACGAAGCGCATTGAACGGTGTCCACGTGTCTTCTGCGGCACGACGAACGGCGCTCGATTTGGGGCATCCAAGAAATCCGGCATGGCCATGAAGTGCCACTAGTGGGAGGTGTCATTTTTCATGCCCCCTCAAGCAACACTAGCTGTCAACCTGTTTCGAGGCACTTCTACATTGGGTGACGCTGGGCCAAAGTATTCTCCTAAGGCAAGTCATTAGGTCTCCGGAAGGTCCGTTTTCTTGTGGTTTTCATGTGGTTTCAATTGGTTTCATATTACAGACCCGGGAAAAAAGTTTAAACAAAACAAAACTTGACTAGTAGGCCATTAGATTCTTTATCTAGTGGGTCTGCACCGAATAGGTGGCGGTGGGTCTGCTGAATCTAACACTAAGATCGGGAACCCTTCGAATCATAACATGAGTGCTGACTGTTCATTCACAAAACAGGCCTGCTAGGATGATAAAACACATTCACTTGCAAAACAATGGGTCCGTTAAAAGCATCAACATTGATCGGATTGATATAGTTAACATGATCCGTATGTCTAAAGTAGACATCTTATACAATCAATCGTGACCAAAACAAAATCCAATGATCCTGTGCCGTGCCATTCTGCCGCAGCAAATTTCACCCCTGCCCCGGCAGCGAATCTGCAACAACCGAGGATTGGTTTGCAAGATTGGTGTTCCAAAGCAAACATGGGATTATCCTCCTTTCAGTCACTTTGAAACTTGCCCCCTCCAACAAAAGCATGTTGAAATCAGTCTTTCACCCATTCAAAAAGAAAAGGTCGGCCGGAACGAGAAGAAAACACCCTCATCCCGACTTGCACAACTTCAGGTATTGGAACACAAAGAACTACCAACAAATACCAATCCTCGGAAGCGACTCTGTCGCGAAAGTCGCCCCACCATTGTGGGAACCGTCACTCGTGGGGTGGGTAAACCCCCACGAGCAACCTCGCCCACGAATGATCGTCCCAGGTCTTTTAGTGTCAGATCAGGTTGATTGTCCTTACAAGTCGAAAATGGGTGTGTTTATTTTCTCATGTTCACCACCAAGAAGGATGGAGTGTCATTTGCTTCGATCATCCACACTTTGTATCGGGATCCACTGCACGCCCTGCACACCCTGCAGGCCGGGATCCACTCTTCCACCGAGACGAAGGTACGTCTGGACCCTACAGAAAAGTGTCTCCTGGTGAGGGGATGGCAGTGGATCTATATTATGTAGGGCATAAAGCCATTAATGCATTGGAATCAAGCCCTTATTAGGTTGGAGGCCATCGCTCTTAGGTTGGAGGCGATCGCTACTTATGTAATTTGAATCAAACCTCTGAGATCTCCTACCTGCGCAAACGTGCAAACGGCCAGGCATGGCCAGGCCACTAAGCGTTGCTTGGTTCTTCGCCTCAGCCTGAGTTCGACTGAAGAAATCCCCAAAGGGCTCCTGTCCTCCATCCCCATCCCGGTGGCGTTGAACATTCCGACGGATTTGGTTGGGCACTCGGGAGTTGCGCTGGCACAACTGGGGATCCGTTCTCGTACCGAACCGGTTCGGTACGACTGGACCCGACGTGACTTGGCACCTACATAAGAGTGCCGAACACATCACCGTACCTGAGAAGGTACTTGGATCCCTAGGGCTGATATAATTAGAGGTCATTGGTGCATTAATCCATCTACTCCGCCAGGAATTCAACAGAAGGGACCAGCAAGCTATTCAACAGACGGCCTTGTTGACAGGGTCCTTCGTTTGGCAGTTCCCCAAACAAAAGAGCATGTCAAAGTAAGGTGGATGAAGGTGTCCATAAACACGTCCAGTCCTTGCTTCTACCGTTTGGGAACGTCCTTTGTACCGGGATGAACTCCTCCTTTTCACGTCCGTTTGCCGGACCTCTTCACCTGTTGGATGCCCGGAATCTCCGGAACCTCCGATGGTTCACGGACCGTGCGTTGCAGGGCTGCGACGATGCTGGGACGAAGCTGAGTCGCAAAGCTCAGTCGAGTCCAGGAATGGGATCCTCCTGCTCCGGTCGAGTCCGGTGAGGCATCGGTTTTGGCATCACCGGACGGGAGGTGTTTCATGGGCACCCTGCGAAGCATGGAAGAAGGACCAGAATTGATATATATATATATATATTATGTACAACAATCTGGTCTCTCTTGATCGCAGGAAATCTTCCTGGCTTTTTGTACTTATCATGGCTAGCCGGCAGCCTGTCGTTCTCTGAAATCTTTAGGTTTTGAATCACTGGGCTCTGGTGTTTGTCTTGGTGCGTCTGCTTCAGGGTGGCAAAACTAAAGCACACGATTGGCAACAATAGATTGTTGAAGCAAATAAACCAATTGAACACACCATGTGATGTTGCCACTTCTATGGAATTAATCAGCTCCTGCAAAAACCACCGGTACTTGCAAGTCTTTGAGTGCAACAAACACCTCTATTGAACAAAACATGATGTTTTTTTTCAATAGATTGGAATATTTGGTTGGATTGTTGTGTCTACTTGTAAATGCATTGTCCATCCCCGAAATCTGCTTCAAACATACTCCCGATCCCCGGTATTTCAGTGATGAATGTTTTACATGATAAATAAAATCAAAAATAATCATGACAATACACAATTAATCACAGCGATGTGGAAGAAGTTGGTTATCAAAACTCGCGAAACTTGGACAGAAGTGTTTGACAGTCCATGGCCATCTGTTTCAGAGTCCATCAGCGATTAGTCATTCCAAGTCCAACCCAGCAATGTTGTCCCAAAGGTTCGTTATGTATTTCTCATCTGGGACACCTTCACACACACAACACACTCTTTTTGGTGGCAAAGAACACTTCTTGCACATTCTCAGTGTGACATAGTTTGTTCAGGTGTTTCTGGATATTTCTCCCATGTTTTCTCGTCCAACCACATCTAAGTCGTCCATCCGCAGTTCGCGCCTCTAAGTCTTTGCACTCCTCAAACAGGGAGACACAATCCAAATTACCTGGCGACAGTTGGGGGGCACAAAATACCTCGCCATACGCCACGTGCGGGGCACAAAATTAGCCGAAACCATTCTTTAGACATCGTCTGGATTCGTCTGGCAAAGACACGGCACTTGTAAACTTGTGAATAGGCGGATTCCTGCCAGCTGGGGATTCTTCTTGGGCTTGTCCGCCCTCGACTTGCTTTTTGCTGAAATACGGCCGCTCCCTGCAGTGAGCCTGCATAGTGAGCAGCCCAAGGCTGCAGCCACGTGCCCGGGTCCTGATTCTGATTGACTGCAGTGCTTCGCCGCGAAAACACAACTTGCCTTCGGACTAAATGGGCTGTAAGGGAGATGGTCTAGCCGCTACCAAGATCTAGCTTGTATACTGCAGTTACTGCATGCAGCCCCAGACCCCAGTAACCGTTGGAATTCATTGACATGATTCACAATCTTCACAATCGAGCGGTTTTCACACGACACCTGCGATTTCAAGGTTCAGGGTGCTAGGTCTTCTTCTCCGAGGTCAGTGATATCCTACTAGGTTCTCGCTGGGTTCTTCAAACCGGTGTGATCGCATGAGCATTTGCTCATCGCTTCAGGTCTGTTCGTGAAAAAAGGCCGACAGAGGCCGATGATTCAATCAAAGACTCGTCTGATAGGAAGGGACCACTGAAGGGACCATATTTTCAGGGTGATTGGTGGTCCAACCACATCGAAATCCCTCAGCTTCCAGGTTTTTCCCGATCTCACGCCCGTCCCACGCAGTGATCGAGTTTGGACCGCCGAGATCGCGAACGAAGGGAGCAAGGATCGCTTTGTGATATCGCACATGTCCATGGTTCTCGGCCATGGGGAAGGTCTAGAGGTTCTCGGAAGGCCTTCTTCTTTCCGGATGTGCCCCCGCTCATAGATTCTCTTGATTTGGGCGGTGCTGATGGACATGTCATCTCAATGAACATTGATCGCACACATGTCTTGGCACAGCATCTGGATGCAACGTCGATTCACCTGAATTAAAACGAACAAAGAACACCAACAGTCGGCCCCAAAGCAACCGTCGGTCTATCGAGGATGTTTGCTCTCAGTCCAAAAGTGTGGCAAGACCGGTCCAGCTTCTTCAAAGATGACCTTTCACAGGCCTGTTTTGTGACCTCAAACTGGGATATCAAGTTAGGTCACGAACTGATGACCTCAACTGGTGCTTTGGAAGATGTTTGGACGACGGAATCTACGCCAACAAGGCCATTTCACAGACCTTTGGTATGTACCCCGTGCCATACTTAGTATGGTCTATGGAAACAGCTTCTATTGGAGATAGAGATCTATCATGATCTATCCACACATCCACACAGTCTCCTATCAAACGAGCCAAATCTGCCCTGGTTAACCTACAAAAGCCTCTAGACCGCCCGATCCGCTGCTTGCGTGTTTCACCATCACCGACGCCCACGTCTTTCGTGTGACTTTGAGTATCTACTCGGACAACCGTGTGTGTCAACCCCCCCGAACTGATTCCAGTTCTCCATTCCGCTCCTCCTGGGCTTGCTGCCTGGGCTGCTGAAGCGAAGGTGCTCCACTCACATTTGTTTCTGACTGCGTGTGTACCGGCCCTGCCAACATCAGTTACTTCACAAACATGTCAACACGAAAGTTGGGTGCTTTTCCGAGTCTGAATCCCTCAGTTCTTCTTGGATCGGTTTGATTCATTTGGTACACTTGTTGATTAGGAAACCAAGTCAATCCCACAAAACACAACTACCACTGGCAAGTAATTTGGATAATATGCATAGGCTTGGGTTTAGTTATGTATATTAAAATGACTTGGGGAAGGTAAGGATATAAGGAAAGTGTAAAACCATGTTGCGTTTTGCATCGTTGTAAACCATAAGAACAATGAAACTCTGCCACTGGCGTTCAACGACTCAGCCAAGTCGACACACGGCGGCCATGGTGTTCTCGTCATCACCTCTGTGGACAGTCGAAAAGGCCACCCGTGGCACACAACGGTCGAGATCAAAACCCGCCCTCAGGGCGAACACTCTGATCTACCAGCGGTCTTGGGTGGAAATTAAACACTTTGAACTCGTTCTTCGTCGACCTGTAGCAGGTGCGTTCCCCACGCAGATACTTCCTCTGCTTCTCCTGCTTGGGTGCTTCCCTGCTTCTCCTCGCTAGACCCGCGGCGACTCGGTGCCCGGGTGGCCCGGACACCAGGTGCTTCGGCTCCGCGAAGACCAGCGAGGCTTGGGCACCGTACCTTAGAGCGCCGAGCGGAGCTGGAGCAGGGACTGACTGTGGACGAACGGAGCCGGGTTCAGGGATTTCTTGGGGTTCAGGACCTGGAACGTCCAAACACTCCAGGGTCCCTGAGAAAATGGGAGATGATGGGAGATGACCCTTAAAAACATACCTTGATCCTCCTTTGGGCGGAAAAAAGTGCCGGACCTCAATCCGGCAAAATTTTCCGCCGGATTCCGAAAAAAACGCCGGAGACCTGAATAAACATCCGGATCCAAGATTCTGAAAAACAGAGATGATAAAAGGTTGGATCATACACAAGGAAATTGCCTTTGCGCCGCGAGTCGTTTTTGTGGAGCACACTCGAACCTTCCCGTTCCCATTGCCCTCGCCCATCTTCCGAATGGCCTAAGAGCAGAACCATCACAAAATATAAGCAACTTGTGCCCAAGCAAAGACTTCCAAGAAGAAACCAAGGAGCATGTGGCAATGAACTCATCTTTCTCTGCAACCTTGTCTCTAAAGTGTTTTTTCCAAAGTGGGTTGCTCTCCATGATTCTTATGCTTCTTAATGTTTCTATAAAGCTTGCCTCAGGACGGCCCTCCCAAAAAGTAGCAAAACTCATGGTTCCTGTCAAAACTCTTCGTTGAAAAACTTTTCAAAGTCAAAGCCCGCAGAAGACTCAGTCCAAAAAAATACGTCGGAGTTACGGGAAATTACGCCGGAGTTACGGGAAATTACGCCGGAATTACGGGAAATTATGCCGGAGTTGCGACGTGCCAGTTTTTGACAACTCTCTGCAAAACATTGAGATTCTGAACAACACATGTTCCACAGCCCAAAACTTGTCCGGCAGGCTCTGCAAACCTGCGCAGCTAGAACTATATCCCAGCGCCCCGACATCCTGAAACAGTGGGAGTACATTTTTGCCTATGCTCTTTCAGCTTAGGTACGCCCACTTGGATCTTTCAATAGGTGCATCGCACTGTACCGGCTTCATCCGACTTCATTTAGAAGATCACCTAAACGGATCTGATTGATCCATGCTGAAGCAGGTGGAATGAGAAAACAGCGGAACAAGCAAACGAGCACACATTGCAAACAAAATCATTGCATCAGTAGTGGGTTTACCTTCAAAGAAATGCAGACTACAAAGAATGCAAAGCCTTGAGAATCCACATAAAGTGACTTGGAAAAAGTGCCGGACCAAATCCAGAAAAACGCCGGAGTTGGAAGTCCGGCGCCGGACCCTGTAAAAGTGCCGGACTGAAGATCTAGGTATAGGTAACTAATTGACATCCCAAACATGGGTTTCGCAGTCGTCAATGTTCACACTTCACTGATACAGTAAGAACCCCTGGTTTTTGCCACAGTACACCCTTTGGACAAGGCCGTCCACAATGGATCCGGCCACCCGATCCACAACACAGAGGATCCACAGATGCCCTCGTCTTGGGAACCGGTGACCTATATGGATTTCGTCACGGTTGGCCTACGGATTTCGTCATGGGAGACATACCAAGAGAGGTTAAGTGACTTTATAGGACCTTACTGGGTACCTGTGGGATAGGCTATAGGGTCCTTCAACCTCTGTTGGTATATTCCCTGGGGCGTCGTCGTCCCATCGACGTACCGATCCTTTGATGGACCAGAAAAGGATCGGAACCATCGTGTTTCAGGGTCAGCGCTGAGGAATCACAGGAGCGTCCGTCAGCGCTGAGGCCTATAGGACCCCCCAACAAAAATGAAATCCACCCCAGTCGCGCCGAAACAACATTTCCAGAAGTAGGCCAGGAGTTTTCGAGGCTGGTCTGGGAAGTGTCTGCTCTGGAGGAAGAACGATGTCTGCTTTTTGGAAACAGATCGGTCGAAAGAAAACCGTGCCAAACGACCCATGCGAACAGCTGGGAAACGACCCATATGAAAGTCATCAGCACCACATGCGCTGCGCTGCGCCCTCAAAGAGCGACGACGACGTTGCATGAGCACGGCATCTGTGACAAGGCCGGACATGGATACCTTTCAGTGTAGTGACCTTTACCGAAAGCAACTTGGGAAGTCCGGACCCTGGGAATCTGTGGACACTCAGAACCTCAGATTCCATGGGATATGCCAACAACAACATAAACCTAATCAGGTGCGCGTATTTACCTATTCTCCCAAGGTACTTACTGACTTACTGATGCTCCAGGTGGTTGCCCCTTATTCTGAGAATGTATATAAATAGTTAGTTACCCTCATGCCCAGGAATGACATGTCTTCGCCAGTGAATCTGTCGATTTTTACGACCACCCGTCGCGACCCTTTGCTTCGCGGAGCTTGTTCTCCAGCGGTGCGTTGTAGATCTACGCGGACATCGAAATCTTCGTCCGGGACCGACCGGTGGGGATCTGACCAGTAGTCAAACCGAATTCACCGAATTCACCGAATTCACCCGTTGCCTTAATCAAGCAGTTTCAAGCCAAACCGAATTCACCGAATTCACCGATATAACCGTTACCAAAGATCGTCAAACTGAAGATGTGCAACATTGGTCTTCTCGAAAGGTCTGGTCGAGTCACGAAATCACATCATGCGCAAGCGGTCTTCTCGAAAGCAAGCGCAGCGAACGAACTGTTGACTCTTATTCTACCGCAGCCACTCCCCAGAAAGCTCCCAGAAAACCCGTGTCAGCCATACAACAACGGAAAAAACCAACGGGTCCAGTCATCCGGCTTCAGAGGGGATCCTTCACCGATGGATTCGTTTCCACTCCGGCCTCGACTCCCAGGTGGCAGGAGTCCACTCCAAGTGGCAGCGGATGAGGGGACCAAACCGTATGTTCAAGACATACCAGACAACTACAGTTTAAACAAAAATCAAGTCTCCGCGAAAGGCGACAAACCAGCTGAGCAACTCCTAAACAACAAAAACACGTGCATGAATCTTTAGGTTGTTTTTCCCAGCTTTCCCCTGTGATGTACTAACCAAGAGTGCCACAAAGGCCACAGAATTCATCATAGGAACATTGGAAACTCTGACGACACATGGATGGCGAGGTCCCTTAGAACTGTCCTGTATGAACAGAAGGTGCCATCCACTTTCATGGAATGTGACCCTCTTAGAGAACCCTTCACGGCATAAACATCACATAAACATCACACGACCCTGCATGTGAGTGTCGATACGGCCATGTCTTGTTTTTTGTCCCTCCAACAATCCCTTGATGTCTTGGGTTCGGTGCGAGAGTTCCTTTGCTTCCAGGCGCGCCCGCACAAAAAACAAAACCCACACGGTGCCTTGTGTCGGCGATAAAGCTCCAAGAGCAACAACTCGACCTGCAGCTTGAAAGGATGTCTTGGAAGACGGCCCACCACACCCTGTCTTAGGAACCAAAAGCTACGACCGGTGGAGGCCATCGCTATTAGGTTGGAGGACATTGCTACTAGTAGCATAGGACGTGCATCCATCCCAGGAAGCCTGAAGCCATAGCTGCCATGTCTATGTTGAAGCAATCTATGCAGTGGGATGTGTCTTCACGAGCTCCTGGCTAAAGATGCTACTCTTTTGCCCACCAAAGCGATGACCAGAAGGAACTCTAGAAAGGAACCACGTGAAGGAGTCTTCCTCCACAGCGATGAGATCCGGTGGCGTCCTTTGAAACGACGAGTTGGCTCTCAAAACATCCCCTATACAGAACATGTTGGGTGCCTTAACCAGCTAACAGTAGCTAACACATGTCGATTTAAGAGGAAAACAGTCTTTGCGGGTGCCATTTTTTGCAGGGTCCAGGTTCGTTTTCGGCAGTGTAAGTGGTGTCCCAACTTCTTCACCCGGTGAAACCACAGGTGGAAGCTAAGCTCGGAGGTCATGAGGTGACAACGCCCTAATTGAGTAAGTACCTTGAACCAACCAACATGTGGTTGATTCCTGTCGAAACAGTGTCAGCTGGCTTCTGGGTTTTGATGGTCCACTGGGTATTGATGATAAGGGACTTCCAACAACCACAGAACTGGAATCTATTGATTGAAACCAAAGACCTTGCGTTCTCTCGACAAACTTGCACAGCACTGGACCTGCCACAACCGTGTTCGGCTCTGCTCCAGGTTGGCAATAGGGGTGGCAATCCAGGTTGTGAGGGGGAAGAAACAACACATGTACCCCCTCTCCAACAATCATGGAAGTGGACAAGGGCCACTGGGTAGACGATTTTCCTTTGCGGGGGGGTGGTCCGCTTCCATGATTGCAGGGAGGGTAGCACATGTGACTTCAGTCGTCCAGTGCCACAGCTGTCCAACCTTCCCGGCGCCAAGACGCATGTTGCTTGGCCTGAGCCACTGCCTCCGCGGAGCCTGCAGGGAGTCTGCAGGCAGTCTGCAGGTGAAACGGGTGACCTCTGGCGAATTTCCTTAGAAAGGATCAACTGCAAAAGGATACCCTCACGAAAACTAACATGGAGCCTGAGGATGGCACCCTCAAAGACTGTTTTCCTCTATAAACCATTGGTTTTCAGGGTCCATGTTAGGTTTTTCCAGCGGGGTAGTACATTTCAGGTTGCAAATAGGCCTTGACGTTTCCACATGTTTCCCATGCAATATCCCAATATTGTTCATCGGAACCATTCCCGTCTGTGTCACTCGATCTATATTTACGCTTGGTTTTTGATGGCCAACACGGTCAGCCGTGGCAACCCCCAGAAACAACAACAACAATAATAACAACAACATTATAAGGTATGCCCTTAGAATTCTAATTCCAGCCACCCCGATGGAGTGTAATTTTTTTCTGACGCCCAAACGACTGCCAGTTTGGTGACCAGATTTCGACCGAGCAACCATTGTACCGCTGTACCGCTGGCCAACTGTTTCAAAGACAACCAGTCTCCTTTCTCCATCTCCATTCTCCCACGCTTTCTCGGAGCGAAAAAACAAGAACCAACACAAACCGGTCAGCCACGGCTCACCGCTCCCCGCCTCGCAACTCCAACTTCCGCATGGGCGCCTCGTAGCATTGATCTAAGTAGGCCTCGTTGCGCGTGGCGGGTGACGACGGTGACGACGGTGAACGTTGCCATCCAATACAAGTTGCTACATTACAGTGGCTTCATCAGAGTAGATAGCACAAACCCCAACATGTCCTGTAGATAGGGGTCCACATAAAACAACCTTTCGGGGATTGTGCCATCTACTCTGAAACCACTGTAAAACGGAGCTTCTGACTCCCAACAACTAGGCTCTTACTCCCAACAACTCAACAAACATGGGGTTCAGAACCCGAACTCTGTATAATTACGGGACGGCACATTTATACCTACATCGACACCCCGTCGCGCTAAGGTATGCAAATATGCAAATCTCAACAGTCCTCTGCCAAATTGGTCCGTTCCTCATTGGTGACTGTGACCAGAGACCAATGATGCCCTGGCCTGAGAGCAAACGGCACCCTTTTTAGGACCTGTTGGGAATTTATGCGCGCCATTAGGACACAAAACGGAGCTAGTTTGTCCAGTGATTCCACGATGAAACAGCCAGACATCGCTGTCTTCTGCTAGGCCCATCGAACTGTTGTGTATCGGGGAACATGTGCGATAGTTACCATTAGCTTCATTTTCTATGATAATACAGTACTGTATAACCTTGTCGGTGAAATAAGCCGAAGAACTAAGCCGAAGAGTGCGATGTGTTTTGCATTGTGCCTGGATCAAGACAGTGGTCCAAACTGAATCCAACGACAAAGGCCAGGTAGGTGGCCCGCAGGAAACCATTTACGCTGGAGCACAATCAAGGACATACATTGATATAACATGATATAACATACTAAGGTAAGCAGCCACCAGGATTGGACATAAGCTGCCAGGATTGGATAAGACTCAACGTAACTAAGCTGCCAGGATTAGACGTAATAAAATAGACTCAAACAGAAAGTATTGCCGTGCCTGCTTGCAGCTGTTTGTCCAACTTATTCAACTGTGCTTGCAGGGGTTTGATGCACGTCGTGTTGTGTTTTGTTCCTATCTGATCATTGTCTTGAATACCCAATCAGTTTATAAGATCGAGAGGTGCCACCTCAAGCCTGGGATCCGCTGAGGCACTTGAGCGCATCATGGAGAACCTCCAGCACCATGGAGAGACCGGACATCGACGTGCACCGACGTCCCACCGGTTTGGCAACGGGCAGAGGAGCTGCGGCTGGTGGCTGGACTGGGCATTGGAGCTGGTACGGTTTGGCTGGATCCATGGAGATGCATGTCCACGATACTCGGCAACCAGTTCTGGTATCCAGGAAGGCCTTGAAAGGTCTTGGGGCACTGATCGACTTTGAAGCAGGATTGGCCATCTACAAGAATGTGGACAAGAATCAAGTTGTGAGACTCACGGAGGCCGACAATGGCCATTTGCTGATGCCCATCACTGGAAACATCCTGACTGGTGCAATGAGCCGCCAGACTCCGTTTGTTTCACTTTTTGACGAGTAGGGGAGACGCTCCTTTGACGATATGGACGGAACGAATTCCGGTCAAGGGAGCCACTGTGTTTTGGGGAAAGAATCCAAATTTGATTCTTTTGGGGTAGGTTGTATGACAATCTCTTCAGAATGTCCTCACTGTGAATTGATGGCAGTGAGGGATCAGCAGTGTCACTTTTGCCAGGAACACGTTGATGATCAAGCGTTACATACACTCATGATACACAAACAGCACATTTCCAACTCAAGCCAGACGTGTGAACGAGGTGCGACTGTTTCCCGACCATCTCACTCTCCAGATGCCGGCGCCAACCACCAAGGCCGACTGGATTGCCAAGCTGAAGGGCGTGGGCATCAACGTTCCAATCGAGTGGAATCTCATCCAGATCAAGGCCGCTTGGGCCGACTATCAGGAGACCGAGAAAGACAGTCCAGCAGAGATCATGAAGGAAGAACTCTCAGGCCTCAAGCGAGCATCTCGCAAGAAGGCCGACCTTCAGCAGTACCTGCAGGACATGGGGGTTCAAGTGCAATCCAAGGAGACTGTGGCAGCCATGTTCAGCAAGGGCGAGGATCCAGAAATACGAACCGACAGGCAGCGAGACAGTGGGCTTTGGCAAGTATGGGACAATGACCTTCGATGAGGTGGACTATTTGACATGGTGCATCAAGGCTCTGAGCGAGACCGATTCCCCTTACTGGCGAATGGAGCGCCTGGTGAAGTGGGCCTCCGCACAGGGCTATTGCAAGACCATGAAGACGTCCGGACCGGTCAAGAGTCCCCACGACTCCAGGAGTTTCCTCAACTGGATATCAAACAAAGACCATGATTTCCAACTGGGACGACTTGCCGGAGATGAAGGCCAAGGCCAAAGCCAAGGCAATGATGAAGCCTCCCGAGGAGATCCCACTGCCACAGGTGGACTTCGACTCCGACGAAGAGAAAGTCATGATGCGAAGAAGATCCAACAGTTGGAAGAGGAGAATGCAGACCTTCATCGTCAGCACAGTCGCGACAAAGACCGGAGGGAGATGTGAGAGAGGAATGTTTTCACACCTTACCCGACAAGACAGCTCAGGAACTTTTGCGTTCATGGGGTCCTCACACAAATCAATATAGCAAAGCATGGCAGCAGTTAGTTCAACATCATCGTCCTTTGTTGATGGAGCTTGCATGTTTTGAGAATAGTATTTTGTCTGAGGAGGTTCAAACACGATACAGTACAAATAGTAGTATTGGGTTGAGCAATTGGAATGGAGCTGATCTAGAAACAGAGGAGGGTGTGCAGTTTGCTATCAAGATGCTACGTCAGCATCGTCCCGTGCATCTCTGGATAAGTTGCGAGTGTGGCCCATATTCCCCCCTTCAACGGTTGAATCAGAAAAACCCACAACAGGTCCAACAGTTGCATGACAAAGAACAGCGTGTTCGTCATCAATACCAAGGGGCTTTGAGGGTTGCGGAAGAAGCTTTCAGGTTGAAGACATAGGTGCACTGGGAGCTTTCTCAGAGATATGAGGCATGGAGCCTTCCAGAAATTGTCGACTATGTCAGCCGACACAAACTGGAAAAGGTGAGTTGCGCTGGATGCACAGTGGGACTGCGTACTCGAGATCAGAGCAAGCTCATGTGTAAGTCCTGGACTATAGCAACCAAAAACGAGAGACTCTTACAACATCTCAATTTGCGCTGCCAGAAGAACCATCCAAGGGCAAGTGTGAAGCAGGGGAATCCTCGCATACAGCACGGTACACAAACAGTTTTGCTCGGAAAGTCGTCGACAGTCTTTGCATGTCAGAAGTGTGGTCCAAGATTGTTCAAGAAATTCATGCCTCCTTGAGGAGCAAGCCAATCCAGCTGAACAGGAAGATGAACAAGTATGAGGAGGGCCGCAAGGCAAAAGCAAGAGCAATTGTATTGGGTTATCAAGACCCAAGGTACCAGTTCCATCAGACGGCAGCACCAACACCTAGCAAAGCAGGGAGACAACTATTCTTCCAGTACTGTGCTTGGAAACGTTTTCGAATAGTGAAGGGAGATGTTTCGGGGGCATTTTTACAGGGAGATGATCTTGCAGAAGCTTTGTGGTGCAGACCTGTACCTGAAATATGTGCAGAACTGGGAGTAGCACAAGACACACCAATGTTGTTGACCAAAGCAGCTTACGGATTAGTACAAGCACCTCTACAATGGTATCACTCAGTTTGCAACACCATGAACAAACTGGGATATCAAAGGTTGGTGACAGAACCATGTTGTTGGATCTATGTTGATGACACAGGCACAGTGCGGTCCATGATTCACGGGCACGTGGACGACTTTGTGTTTGGGGGAGATGAGAATTGTCCAATCCACAAATCACTGATGTCACAGCTTCAAGCAGCATTTTCTTGGGGAACCTGGGAGGTCAAATAATTTGAACAGTGTGGCATTTTGGTGAAACAAGGGGATGATTTTTCTATCACTTTGAGTCAGCAACGTTCCATTGAAGAAATAGATGAAATTCTCAATCAACGAGATCGGTCCAGACAACCGCAGTTGCCAGCAACAGATCGGGAGAAGAGTTGTTTACGGGGTGTGCTTGGAAGCCCGTCATGGTTGTGTAGACAGACATGCTTTCTTTTCTCTGTTGACACAAATTTCCTAGTCTCAGAAATACCGGTGGCAACCGTGGAAACAGTCAACAAAACACATGCATTGGTGAGAGCAGTTCGCAAGTGGAAGTCGCAAGAATACAAGATATACAGCTTTCAACCGGAATCCGTCTTGACAATGGTGGTATGGGCGGATGCAGCATTCGCAAACCGTCCAAACAGCAAGGACTCAACAGCAGGAATCTTTGTTGGAATGAGCGATGCTCAGTTCACACAGGGCCAAGAACGTGATGTGAGTCCAATTTTCTGGAGATCTGTCAAAATAGATCGGGTGTGCCGGTCACCAGCCTGTGCAGAAACAATGGCCAATCTGGATGCTGAAGATGACCTTCTATACCTTCGTGTGTTGTGGTCAGAGATGTCTGGACGTCCATTGGATCCAAGAGAGCCTAATATCGCAGCAGCTTCAGTACCAGCAATACAGATTACCGATTCTCGGAACTTGTATGATAAACTTCACAGAGCAACAGTTGTCATTAAATTATTGAGGCAATTTCATTGCGAGATCATTTTCATGAGTGTCAACCAAGGTTGTTTTGGGTTCATGGCGGGGCTATGATAGCAAACAGCCTGACCAAGGTGAGTGAGAAGCATCAAGCAATGATGTATGTCACTTTAGGCTTTCGCTACAAGGTGACCTATGACGAGCTCGCTCCAAAGGTCGGAGAAGGTTCGAAGGAGAGAAGGGATGGATCGGTCCCTTCCACGAGCGCGAGAGAGCGCACACAACATTGAGGTGGTTTTGTAGTGATTCTAAATATAGTTCCTGGCAGTGACAGTTTTTTTTTTTAATGTTGGGACCCGTGCAATTGACATGGCGCCCATCCACTTATTCTAGTGCTCAGAACTCCCCGTAGGTTAGTGAAAGAAAGGCCGCCTCAAGCTATTTTACACTGCATACCATGGCAGACAAAGCAAGGTTGAGCAAGAACGTCGAGGTCGGCGTCACGGCCGCACCATCGATGACCCTCCTTCAAGGTGGTCTCCCTGAATGACGACATGGCCGCACCAACCAAGTGTGTACTGACTGGGTTTCCCGGAGTCTGTTCCCTTGGGTCCTCTTGGGAATAGTTCACACCGGTCAATGCTGCCATGAGCGCCTTTGCCCCAAGGTCCAAGCTCGCCAAGAACGTGAAAGTCATTGGCAGGTTCCATGTTCAGGGCAGAGCGGCAGAGTATAGAGAGGATACACATGTAAAATGAACAGCTCGATTCTGATCATTCGACATATTGAAGGGGTAGTCGAAGAAAGTGACCATGGCTCGGATGATGCTTGAAGCCCAGGAGTGATTATTGGAACTGCTTGCTCCGCACCGTAAGGTTCCTCCCTACCCAAATGAGGCAAAGAGATGAATTGATCATAATTGATCAATGGTTTCTCACATGAGCAACATGTCATAAAACAGATCACATCCAACTCAGAGAAGAAACCCCTTCAATACTCACTGAGGAAACTGTCTCCCCTCCGCATCCCTCCATCTGGGCCCCGCACCCGCACACCATAGGCTTCCCTGACCTGCAGGTGCCCCTTCAGAGCCCGGGTTGGGCCATGTGCCCCTTTGTGCTGGGTGCTGTGAGTGCCATGTAACCGAAGTATGTTCGAAAGAGGTGGTTTTAGCGGCAAATTTGTGCGGACAGAGTTTGTGCGGATGTTGTTCCATCGTAGCTGAAGACTTGATCGAAAAGTGAAGCATCTATTGTCGTAGAAAGGCTGCTTGCCGGTAACATCAGCAAAGTTCTTGAATCGTGAAGCCTAAACTACCCTCAACCCTGGGCGAATACATATAAATACCTTTAGAACGCCGACACCAATTCCATTTCAAAGCAGTTTTCCTGGTAGGTCATGAGCTGCACGAGCTGCATGGGTTTCTTTCACTACACGTGAAAGCCTCAACCTGATATCGATCCCCGTGACCGGAGTCCACAAGATCCTCATCTTCTGCATGTTCACTTCAATGTGGCCGACCCCTTGTTTGAAGTATTTTTCATCACATGTTGCAGAACTTATTGACCTGTGTTGGTTGTAAGTTATAAGTTTATAAGCAGAAGCTGAAGCTGACATAACTTATGCAGCAAGTTCTGCAAATTGTATGTTTTTTTAAGCATAAAACATATACATATATAGCTATAAGTTTGGTGCCTTCCAAAAAATAAGCTGTTTGCAATCCGTACAGATCAACATGTTCAAAGAATCCCACTCTATTGCAATAACAAGCCCCCTGACATTCCTTCCGGAACTCGGCAGGAAGGAATAAAACAAAGCTGGGCCATTCCTCTTGTCATATTTGTCTTGGCGAGTCCTTGAACACTGATGAATACGCAGCACGCATACCAATCTGATTATTGCTGCAGCTGAATATAAAATGAAAGCGTTGAGCGTTGACGGACATGTTTCCTTACTTTGATATTGCACGAATATCAAAGGAAGGAAACAAGTCAAGTACGTTGCGGCACATGTCTCTTGATTGACCGAAGTGGTTGCCACCAGCATCCAACAAAAAAACATATGATCTTTCGCTTTCCATATACTCAAGAAGCTAGTAGAAACAAGTGCATCGCTACTAGTAACAAGTGCCTTACTACTAGTAACAAGAAGCTATTACTTCTCCAAGTGCACCGAGGTCCCCATGTCCGTCCTTCACCGGCCACGACGCGCCTGTCCGATGACTTGGCCCTGTAAGCCGATGAGCCGTCCGGCGAACTTGTTGGGCAGCTGGCGCGAGTGGAGACGGAGAGAGACACCGTGACTTCATTCCTGGAATGAAGATGAATTGTTGATATTATATATTCATCTTCAATTCATATTATTTTGATTTGTTTTAAAGATGAATTGATATAATATATACCAGCACCCTCCAACAGGTCTCCGAAATGGAGGGTTGTTAGGCCCTAACAGGTTTCAATTGGTGACCTGTTGACATGTTGGAGGTGCTGGTATATGTATTTATGAATTTGTTTCTTCAAGATGAATGCCTGCTACAAATGAATGGCAAGTTCTTGGTTCTAATGGTTTTTACCTGTTTTTTGGCAGGTACCAGCACGTTCTTTGCTGCGACCATTGGCGCCTGGACGCAGTCTACATGTAGTTGTCTGGCTCAAGCTTAGCATACACCATTGGCGCACTCCGGAGAGGCCTGATGATCCTGAGATGGCTCCTCTATGGCCAGTTTCAGTCCCAAAAACCGCTGGTGTTCGAACGAGTGCAAGTCCATGTACCAAAACCAAGCACGGCTTGACACAAATACACCAAAAAACGCTATACAATAAACGCACACAGGTGGGAACATTCACATGGTTTGTTTGCTGAAAAAGCGAATTCCTCGCTTTGGAAAACACACATGTGTGTTTCATGGATTTTCATGGACACCATTGAAGACCGACTTGCGCTGGGATCTTCTTGTCTTCCGACATGTCAACCAGGGATGCGGACCACAGTGTTTCATGCCTCAAAGGACGTCGAGATTGATCCTTCAACTCGAAACTGATTGAGAGAGTTACACCCTGGTTCCGAGACCCACGTGGAACCTGAACACCACTGGGTTGTAGAGGAAACTAGTCTTCCCAAGATCCGTTTTCAGGTTCCATGTGGGTCTCTTCCTGGGTGTCCTTTCAATGCTAGCAAATGCACCAAGTAGTGGCTCAAGGCAATCGTGACATTGGATGGCTTGACATTGCCCTCACTGTCATTAAGATGGTATGCCTATCATAGCCCTTGACATTGCCCTTGACAGCCCTTGACATTGCAAAGTTCAATGGCTATTGCCCTCAATTAAGAATGCACCACAAGTCTATATCCCAGACAACGACCCATTGAGACTGCCGATCACTACTGCTTGACCCCGTACGGCCGTTTCTCGGCTGGCCGTTTCTCGGCAGTCCCAGACGGGTCGTGTCCACGTACTAAAACAGGTTCATACATTAAAAAGACGTTAACAATGGATCAATAAAACATATATTGAAGTCATTTGAAGTCAAGGTGTCTAAAATGACCTGGAGGACATGGCGGGCATTTAGACAGTTGGAGGACCCAAACTTGTTGAAGTCTTGAGGGCATAGCCAAAACAGCTATAAGAACTTGGCAATGTGTGCTTTGGAAGGTTCCTGGCGCGCTTCCGCAGAAGGTCTGTAATTACAAAACAATTTGTGGCACCTACCCCACTTACCACTTCCACAAGTTGGAACTTTAGGGATTACTTTCCAAGTTCCCATACCCATTGGTTGGGAGGTCTCCCCCTATTATAATACACTCCCATGCGAATCATATCCTGCTCATGCGAATATGTGGACCGGTCTGGGCATTGGTCTGATGGTCTGGGCGAACGCCCAAAGGGGCGGACCTGATCTGCGGCATCCGATCGACACCCATGAGTTCGACCTCCACGTAGTCGACGACTTGCGATGCCTTGGCGTCCTGGACGCGTCGCGTCGCGAACACGACGCCGGAAGGCCGGCGGGTCAAGGCGGCCCCTCCGGCGGCCCGGCACGGTCGTGCCAACTGGTGCAAACAACGTGTACAGTTGTGTATGTTGAGCCAGACGCGATGACCTTGAAAGGGCCCTGACATTCAGTGAAGGGTGACAAATTACTTAGAACTCAGGGGCACGTGGAGCTCTTGTCTGGGAGGCAATCCTGTTCCTGCCGGGAATGCCCAATGACAACCTAAGGATCAAAGTTGTTGCTGTCGACATGTTAGCAGTAAGCCACACACATGTGCACTCACCCAGGGCCATGTTTCCTTATGATACTGTCATGTCCATACTAGAAGACCAAGTCATTGAGTGAAATCAATAAGCCAAACATAGCCAAACGGTTTCTTGTTCCGCTGGGGTGGAGGAACTACTTAAGTCAGACTGGGAGGAACCCTTAGATGTGCTGCACCTGAAACCCACTTCTTCGCTCTCAGGTGAAGTCAGGGATGATCTGTTTGCTGGGTGAGCAATCGCCTGGAAGAACTTCCTGAACACTCTAACTTGGAAGTGAGAAACCCTTGAAAAGCCCTTCGTCAGAGTCAGTTTCCGTATCTTTGCCTCCATGAGAAACAAAACATGTCTACCACACAGTTTGTATCAGAACACCTCATGCCAACCGCTTAACTGGGACTACCACCATCCAATCACCTCCCAAAACTCCTCGCCCGGTCGCTCGAACCCTTGCCGGAACTTCCGCGCACAACCCCCGCGCGCGCGAAACCGCTCCTGGAGGGCCTTGTTGCGCTCGAGGAAGTGCAACAAGCTCTGGTAGGCCGCTTCTTGACTCTCCAAGCCTAGGAGCAAGAAGCTACTATAGGAACAAAGGGCATCGCGACTCGAACGGAGCGATAGGACGCTAGTAGGGGCTCCTGGCCTTACTACTAGGAGCATGCAAGGACGCTACTAGGAACACCAGGCTTGGAGGGTTGAGAGGTCGCTGTCGCACACCACCGGCGAGTAGGTCGACCGTCGGGTGGCCCGGTGTTGCCCAAGGACCGTCGGAGCGGCCGATGTCGCAATCCATCGGCTTGACGCGCTAAGAAGGGTCAGTTCCCCAACTCGACCTGTCTGGGACTGCCGAATTCGACTTTGAAACGGCCAGCGTTGTGGATTTCAGGGGTTGACCTGAGGGCATTCTGTATTCCTTTCCCATGGAGTATCTGGGGTTGGACCTATAATGAAATACTGAAGTTGATCAAACCACGACTCAATGACTCAATGGGGTGTAAACCCTAGGGCATCAACCACATCCTCAAAAGCTGGTTGGTTTTTTGGGGGGTCTAATTACCTTCTGAGGATGTGGTTGGAGGGTACGTATTCTTCAGGTTTGGACCTGGGTCAAACTGGACCCATAGGGAAGGTTTTGATTCAGACAAAAACCTACACCCGCTGGAAGTGGAAGGCTTCGGCCCCTGGTTTCGACCCCTTTCCGAGTACCAAGGCAGGCTTGATGTTCCACACCTGTTGTTCTACAGGAAAATCCTCAGCACATTGCAAAAACCTCTGACCTCTTTCCCAGTCGAGTTCCCAGAGTCCTGCTCCATCCTCACGAGGCATGCGCAGCCACTGAGTACATCGTTTTTGGGGTCTCGTGAACGATCCCATGGCCGGTCCCTCGGTCAGACTGTTCTCCTTGACCAACCAGTGGTTTTCAGGGTCTATGTTACACCCTGGAAGAGACCCACGTCTGGAACCTGAACACCACGTCGGGTTGTAGAGGAAAAATCCCGTCTTCCTTGCCATGGCAAGCCCGGTTCCATGTGGGTCTCTTCCCAGTTGTCAGGTACGGAGCACGTCTCTTACGACTCCAGGGTCCCGACTGCCAGTAATGCAAACCTTCCGCATGCCTGCAGAATGCGATGCGAACGCCGATGCTCATGCGATGCTGCGAAATCAAGCTTTTTTCAGCAGATGCCTGCAGGACGCGAAGCGTCCAAATCTGCGGTAACAGAAAACGACATTCAAGAAACCCACTAATGAAGTACAATGCATATCATGTCTCAGGAAATTTGCAGGGCCTTATAAGGCATCCTTTCAAGGCACTTAATTTGACTCGGGGAAAACATCTGTCTTTGAGGTGAAAGCCTTGACACCACTAAAAGGATTGATCAGTTCAAAAGAACAAGGCCTTCCCAGACCATCCATGGGACTGGCCTATATACCTACATTGGGGTGGTTGAGTTTGGGGTATTTCTGGTGGCATATCTTCCATATATGGATGGTCAGTAGCCTTCCTTTCGTTGAACTTCAGTAAACCAAAGCCAAAAGGCCAAATGACGGAAGTCTGTTGGTCAAAGACATCAGGGCACTGTCAGCTCAATGTCGCCTTCGTTGGTTGCCACCTCGCGCTGTATGTCACGTTTTGTCATGTTCATCCACTATATCCACTGCAACTTTAGGTGGAAAAGAACCGCGCAAGAAAGAGGTCAAACTCTGGTGCCTCCCTTTCCAACACCTATACTTGACGTTACATTTTGACACCATTCATCCTTCGCATCCTTTGTCTTTCCGTTTCTGTTCAAAAATCCGCTGCCGTGAAGCCCACAGCGCCTTCGATCGCGAGCTTCCCCACGCACAGCGCCGCGCCGGTCTCCGCCTGAGTACGAGCCAAGGGCGAGTATGAAGGCCGATGGAGAAACTGTCCAGAGTGCACATCCACATCACCCACAGTGTTGGGAACGTGGCCGACAGTAATTGGGAGGCTTTCAGGGTTGAAGCAATCTATAGGTCTTACAGGGCCCCCGAGAGTGGGCCGGTTTTCACGGCTTGGAATGTTCTCCCCAAGAGGTCCCCGAAACTGCCTGGCCTACGAGAAAAATAAGGACCGAACTCCCATCTATCACCCACCCCAGTCCGTACCAAGTCCATACCTGTTACAAACAAGTTTCAACTGAGCGTGTCTCCCGGATTGTGGAAATCTGATGGCGTGAGGGTAGATTTGCCCAGGAAGTGCCCGAGTTGCAAACAAACCCTGGCGTGTCGCGGTGGAAATTCCAGCCAACCCGCCAATCCCTCTGCACTGGAGCTATCAACACCTGTTTCGACAGCATTGAGTGTGTTTCACGGATGTTCATTCTTGTTTTCTGCCTGTCCCCTGCCTTTGCGTGACAAAGTTGTGCAGGATGTTTATTCACATACAATGTTTTGGGGAGTTGTGTTCGGACCAAAACTGTTTTTGGATTGAAATCAAGACCGTTCGGGACTGGACCGATTCCCTAAAATCAAACAAATAACCGTATGGTAAAGCTACACTTGGTTGTGGATGCCTCATCTATGATGGCAAAAAAACTAACACATTCTATAATCAACCATCCCGTGCTGAAACACGTTCATTCCAAAAAACCCGCCACATGTGCATGCCGCCTTCAAAGCTTTCCCATTAAGGCACCCACCCCCCTGTAGTTCAAATCGCGCCTGCAGATTTTTGATCATCGAACCCTGCTTTCCGATGAGCAAACCGGTGAAGTCATCAGGTATCTGCGCGACGACTTGGCGGTCCGGCTGAGATGAGGTGGAGATGAGGTCGAACACAGGAAGAATCAACGTTTTGGTGGCCCAAACATTTGTTGATCCATGTGGAAAGAACCATCGAAACAGTGTGGCAATTAAGACTCTAAATTGCATAAAAAGTAACAATGCCTAATCTAATAACGGATGGAACATTGTGGCAGTACATTGCCTACGCCAGCATTGACCACCACCAGCACACTGCAGAGGCGCACTGCAGAGGCTCCAGCACCCAAGCTCGAGAACGCACACATTGAGCTCTTCCTATGCTTGAAGCAAGAACACCACTAGCTCATGCTATCAGGGAAAAAACAACACAAATTGCATGTGACCACTCTTTTCCGGGGTAGGTCTACCCATTTCTCCCAGCCAGCTGGGCCATGCTGCACACACCTCGACCGACCACATCCACCACGAAACCGCACCTCAACGACGGTGTAACCGTTGTCACCTGCGGCGTGGATGTGGAGCAGCGGAGCAGCGTCAAGAGGGTCAAGGCCGGAGCTACCTCCGAAGCGGTTCGGTATGACTGGACCCTCCTGGCACCCACGCCTAGTCCCACCTTCTCAGAAGGTGCTTGGAGGCCTAGGGGTAGCCAGTTGGATTAAGACTTTTTGATGGCAGTTGACACTTAGGAGGGACTTTCGGGGCCGGGCTGGTGGAGGTTGCGGGTGGTTGGAGCAGTTGGAGCGGAGAGTCACAGCCGTTGGACGGAGAGTCTGGGAAACAGGTCATGACTTGGAGGATCGTAGGATCCATCAGGCACGGTCGCTTCCGAAAAGGAATTCGTGTGAGATGAGATGGGTGCCAAGGGCACGCACCTGGATCTGTTCGTAGACTCTTGAGGAACATAACCCCCCCAATTGAATTGGACATCCTCTTAATCAATGGGGGGGAATCAAGAGTCTACATGACCTTCTAAGAATGCGGACCAGGAGTCCTATAGGCCTTCAAGGGGCGCCCAAAAATTGGTATGCAGCTTCGACATGGCTCGTCACAAGCCTCTCTTGTGCCTTGGGCCAGCATTACCTTGAAAACCCTTATATAAACGTAGGTCTCTGCCTTTGTTGAAGACAAGAAGCCTTTTATGGGACATGGCAGGACAACCAGGAAGTCGAGGACCTGAAAGCCTCATTGAGTAGGGTTTTTGTATGATCTGATCTACTCCGAAAAGACCTGTAGGGAAGGTATTCCAAGCATCTTCACCTTTGAAAAGGTGCCCCTCTTCAAGATTCTCAGGACTATAAACATCATCAAGGGGGATGTGCAATGACCATCTTTTTGTTGTAGTCGGGAGGAAACTGTGATCCCCTGAGTTAACCTGGAAAATAACATTTACCTTCGTTCCACCTGTTGGATTTGAGTGGAGAAATGCATCCTAAAAATATCTAAAAATGGTTGATGATTGGGGAGACACTACCCACTACCGTCAACATATCAACTGGATCCGACGAGCAAGGAACACCAAAAGCAGCTATAGATTGGGTGCCACCTCCGCCTTGGCCACCACATTGGTGGCTAGAAATCCAGCCGACTCCATCCCTAAAGGTCAGGTTGGACCTCATGAACTGTTGACTCCAATTCCGGTGTCCAGGACCTGCTTTGAGGCCTGGTGTTCGACTGTGTTCCGTTCCGGGAAGGGTTTTTTTGGGTCACACCGCGCCCGAACACGGCCACACCTCCGCCCTCTGCAGCAGCCTGCGGCAGAGGGTAGAGCCGGAGCCGTGGGACGCCGCACGGGGTCTTTTCCGGGACGCCCATTGCAAGAGGTGGTCACCCAATCGTAGCAAAATGGGTCAAAACCCGGGGTGTTTGGATGTGAACATGGTCCATACAAGAGAGTCATTTCATATCCTGAAATGACCAGCTTGGATGTGCCGTCCAGGAACTTGGAAAACATCTTCCCCCAGAAGTGGATTTATCCGTAGGATAGGGAAAACAAACAAATCACCTTCACCAATCCCATTGCAAGAGTGGATTCAGAGAGGAAAGTCCTGCAACCATATAGTATAATGTTGACCTATTCAGGGATGACTACTAACTGAGCTGAGGAACTAGAACTACTGGACACGCCCACTTGCCAACTGCTTCGAACCGGAGTAAGTTTTGGCCTGGACTGCTGATCCTGTGACTGGCCTGGGCATCTTGCTACTATAAACTAACTGTTTGAGTCCTTGATGGATCCATAAAGTCAATTTCATCACCCACCTTAGGCCAGGGGGCTGCGTTTCTTCACTTTCAAATATACACATCCTCAACATTAAAATTCACTTTTTTCCAGCACCGATGACGTACTGAACCACATCTACGGCATGGTGGTAAAATGAGCAACTATACACACTGCATCAAAGAAAGTATGCCTTAAATTATATATAGACCTAGATATTAACATAGGGTCATCGTCCGGCAATGACCAAAGTGCAAGGACAGTGAACAACCTGATCTAAATTGCTCCGTATTCTACCTACTCCTGGATGACTGCAATCAATCACATAGCATGCCATGTCTACATGATCTACATGGTGCGGTCTACATACATGAGCAAAAGCTTGCCCTGAAAACAAACATGGCAACACGCAATCCCATACGCAAGCAGCAGAACAGCAGGACGTCTACAATATCAATATTCATATATGGATTCATTTAGCAAAAGGGAACGTGGCAACCTGTGCTTTGGAGAAACTGGTCAAACAGCTCAGGTCCAAATCGAACTAGACATGCTGGTTTCCGGATTTGGTGGTTTCGGAACGGGAAAATCATCAGAAGTCTTCCACATATTTTTGGGATTCACCCAGGAAACATGCAAATAATGGCAAGATATGCATCACCCGACCACATCCTCAGGTTCGTTGGTAGGGGGTGGGTGTGGATGTGGGTCTGTCCCCACCTTCTGATGTGGGCCAGGAGCCGCAATGAGAAGAAATCCAAGTCAGTCCCAAACCATCCATGGGACTGCAATATTTACCATCCACATTGACCCCTGAAAACAAAAACAACAACCATCATCATCCCTGGCCCTATTTCTCAGTCTAATCTTCCAGTCGCATGGATTCTTCGTCTAAAATTCGTTACAATCGGTGGTTCTTTCACCAAAACCTATAGCACTATGTCGCTTAGCTGGGCGGATGACTTTCGGACCTCTTGCACGTGATTTCTCACCTCCAACCCATGAAATCGATTGAACTCGGTTGGTTGGAAGGGTGCAGGACTCCCTGAACACTCAGGAGGCCCGTGCGCCGACCGCTTTCGCCCCTGCTTCGCCAGCCCTGCTCGCGCGGTGGGTCGCCCTGCTCGGGCCTCGGCAACCTTGGCGGCGGCCTCCCAAGTGCGTGGCTCCTGAGGCGATGAGCTTCGGAGCTTCGGTGACCTGCAATGAGCTCCCAGGATTTTCAGTCACTGACTTAGGCCTGTTATACAAAGGTCACAAACAGAGGTCAAAGAGGTCACGCTGTCCCAAAGGGTCCTGGTACATACACATGGAGACCGACCAAACTTCGAGGACTGACACATATTGACCGAGAAATCAGCCCATGCAGGGTGATTTTCACGGGCACATTTTGGGCTCGGCATATTGAGCGAGAAATAAGGCCAGGGGCCAAGGGTGGTTTTCAAGGGTCGAGGTAGGCATGGCATTTCCATATACATGGAGTACTACATGGAGTGCTTGGAAGTTCCATACATGAGTGTTTGGGACTGGCATGTGAAAACCCGATCAGGCCAAAGTGGTTGACCTTGGTTCAATGGGGCGGCAGTCCTACGGTAGTCCCATGGACCAGTTGGGCTTAGAAGTGATTCCGAAAATTGGATACCCCTGAGATCTGGCAGGTTGGCCCTCTGGTTGTTGTGCAGCCTTTATGGACCAGTGGGCTGTGGACTAAGCATCAAGTGGAGGCATGGTTGACCACAAAAACGCCCACAACAAATCCCCAACAGCTGCGCATGAATTCGCCCATTGGGCAATCATATCGCAAGTCTACGAAGAAGTGCTGTCTTTGAAACCATGTGAGCATCTTCAATGTGCCATGCGCGGTGAAATGGGAGGCAGCATCTGAGCTGGCTGTTCTCTCTAGTCACTCGGGTCTCCCAGGATGGCGATAAGACGCACCACTCCAAGGGCAACTCTTCAAGCAAAAGGCGATGCATCCATTCTTCGACCATGTTCTTGGCCACCTGGAGCCAGAAAAGACTGTGGTCTTTCCTGAATGGTCCTGGATGGTGCGCTTCACGTGCAGCTTCACGTCGCTTCACGCGGGTCTGGTTGCAGCTTCACTGCGAGCTCACTCAAAGACCTTTCGATGTGGTTGAGATACCGTCAAGCTTGCTGCTTTCCGTCAAGCACTTCCAGAGATGGATTTTGCTGGTCATTGGCAACTCGCCGAGGTACCTTTTTCTTGACCATGGCAGCAGGTTCCTCCACCAGAGCAGTGAATTTGAAACTCTATATACCTGGTTCTTCAAAATGACCTTTTGACATCCTGGTTTGAGGTCACAAAAAGGCGTGTAACAGGTCACTTGGGGACTCCAAAAAGGTCACTTTGAAGAAGCTGGTACAGTCTTTCCATATGTTGAGTAGATCCCAGTAACAGGGCCGATGGATGATGGTAAAGGCCTTTCCCAAAAATTGTGTGAAACTTTGAACCCGACTCTCACTGGTTATTGGACACAGCCTCTCTATATATGTCAGTATTCCTGTGCTGAAGCGCAACACCCTTCTGCGTCAGCTACATATCTGCCTGGGCTGGCAGAAACATGTTGTACAATAAGGCCCTTTACAAATACGCCCTTGGCCTTTAACAGAACAGAAAACAAGAAAGCAGCCCAAGCCATCCAGAATCCGTGGCCACCCGTTGCAGCACCATACTAAATCATCAAAGCAGCCATACTAGCCAGCGAAAGGCAAAACCCGAGCCAAGAAGCAGGCCAAAATTTAAAGCCCAGAAGCCATGAAGCCCCCGAAGACGAGACACCATCAAGACCTGAGTCCTCCACACACATGAGTCACACAAGAGAGAGTAATTACACATGATAGAGAGCGTGCAAAAACATATATGAGAGCACGGACCAGCATGAGAGCTGGACACGTGCGAGTGAACACACACAGTCACATGAGAGCACAAACTGACTAATTGGAAAGATCTTTTTCATGTCCAGTTTGCACTTGCCTAGGTTATTGTACCACCCGATGCCTAGGAAAGAAACCAACGAACTGACTGATTTGGAGAGAGCACCCGAAGCCCGCGCTGAAGCCCGCGCTGAAGCCCGCGCCTCGCCACGTGTGCGAGTCGGCCTCTCGACTTCAGCACCTGGCGGTTGCCGAGAAGGTGAAAACTTGGTGAACCAGAAAGGTCTCAAGAAGAAAGGTCGAACATAGGTCGAACATGTCTCAAGTGAAAGGGTCTATTTAGATAAGGACGTGATGAAAAAGGAAGAAAACAAGAACAACAGAAAGAAAGAAAAAACAAAAAAAGGCTTAAAAACTTTCTCCAAAGAGTCCCATGAGACGCGGAGTCTTCCTTTCTAAACATTGATCCCTCTTCAAGCACCCCCAATGTATGTCTTCGGGCGCTTGGAATGGACGCTGGTAAACTCCAGGCAAAGGTGTGTCATGGAATGTGGAAGTGGCTTCGCAACCTTAAACTAAAGCCAACTTATGATTTCCGCCCATCATTTCACTAGGATTGCTATCATATCCAGAAAGCCAGCTGAATTGAATGATATCAAAACCAATCCTCAGAGGTTTTGATGTGCCAAGTGGTTTTAAGTCTCACTTCCTTCTGCGCAGCACGTCTGTGCTGCTGACCAGTTTCCGGCATGAAACCCAGACTTTCAGAATCATTTGCCAAACAACAACTTCAAAACACGCTCAGTTTGCCGTACATGGATTTGTTTGCCGTTTCAGTTAGGACATGTTCTTGCTGAACGGCTTCTTGGGGAATCATGGTTGAATCGAACGTGGTGGAGTGGCCACTGGCCAAGATTTCATGCAAATATCAAGTGCTTGTCAAGAACCACATGAATGGATTTGACATAACAATTCATTGGGTTGAACATAACAATTCAGGAAATTTGTGAATGGGCTTGGAAAACCTGAAGGTCTAGTATGGTTTATTCCCTCAAACTGAAATTTTCTCATCTTAAAAAAGATGGCTTCAATTGATGTGACACGTCTCCTCGCTTCTGCTGCACCGCTCGCCTGCGGCGCTGGGCGGCTCGGTGAGGAACTCGTTCCGCCGGCGCTTCGGTGGCCGCGCCGTGGGCAGGGAGTGGCCCTGCTGCACCTGACGGATCGATCGAAAAGGTGGGAAGGTGGGACAGGAAGGCGGTTTTGTTGGTTGGAAGGCTCTTGAAGGACCAATTGTAGACTCCCCTCCCAAGGAAGGCTCTTGGAGTCGGCTCTGGATTCATGTGTTTTCCCCTTCCCCACTTTTGAAGAGGTGTTAATATGTTTTTTGGGGGTGATTAATCACGAGTCTACGTTATGGACGGTTTTGGTGAGGTCCCATTTGGGTTGATGGCCCACAGACAAGATGGTTTGGGTGGGCGGGGAATGTCTGGGATAGGTAAACCATTCGCTCAAGGCGATGAGGTCTGCATTGAAAACGGCCTTTTGGTTCCAACATCTACCAGCGCCGGCAAAAAAAAAGGTTTCACAACCTCTGAGCCATGTGTTCTTTCTGGAGGACATGTTTGATGTTTGTGTTCCTTGCAGGATCTGTCCAAATTGGAGGATGCCATCATCTAGCCACTCTGTGATGTGGCAGAAAAGATTCACAAGAGATGCGAGCTCACTTGATTGGCACGCCGGAATCTTCAATCGTTTGCTTCCAAATCAAATTCATGTCCGCACCATGCATGGGCGTCCCAGAAGTGAACCAATGCATGCCATCGTCTTTGGTTCATGTTCATGGTCACATAGCAAATCTGGGATGGAAATAGTTGACAACATTAGTCTGTACTCCGACAGTAAGTCTTAAGAAAAGCTTACCACCGTTCATCGCATGTCAAGTCAGCCCGCTGTTAGCAGGGAAGTAGGTGGAGCACTCACATACGTTCAAAACTTTCTCACAAGTTCAATCGGTATGGTCCACATCTGCGGGCTGCTGGTTGCGCCCCCCAGTGCCCATTCCGATGTGGGAACCAAGTTTGCAGCCTTCTTGGCTGTCAAGCGTTGAGCCTGGCAAAAGGCTTGCTGGAGAAAGAAAGCATTAGTCTCAGGACTCAGAACCATTAAACCCCATGCTTGTTTTGCAACAAACGCATGACCAATCTGCACTCCCTGATTGGTGAAGTGAATCAAACCAGCTCTACAGTGGAAAACTCTTAGCTCTAAACCCCAAAAATCTTCACCTCAGAAGGTGGTTCAGGTTGGTGATTTAGGAAATTCTAGCTCCTTTCTTTTTTGCATGTCAATGTGGGACAGGCACCCAAACAGCATAGATCCTCCACCCCCAAGATCTTCCAGTGCATCAAATGACTCGAACAGGCTCCGTCACCGCGAACGGAAGCGACGTGGGTCGCACGTTGACCTACTACCTGCTGTCGTGCGTTTCCGTCTCGTGGACTGGTTGAACGGCACGGACTGGTACGGCCCATCATCTAGAAACGGCACGCCCAAACACTCCATGTATGGAATGTTTACCTAGGACCTACACCACACCAATGTAAATAGGCCAGTCCCAAACAGGTCGTGTCTGGGAAGATTGACCTAGTCATACCTAGTCCAATCTGTTCATGTTCGGTCAACCCAGGTCTCCCGTTTGACCCACAGCCATACATCTTTCCCAAACACTCCAAGTACCTTCTGAGAAGGTATGACTGGACCCTCCTGGCACCCACCCCAAGTCCCACACCTTCTCAGAACGTACGGCTGGAGGCCTAGGGATAGACCTACCTCGACCGAAAACCATTGACCCTGTAGGTAAATATTCCATGCATGGAGTGTCTGGCTTTAGGACCGCTCTATCGACGTCGACGTCCACCGTCCCATGGCGTGCCGTGGCGGCTGCCAAGGCGCGCAGCCGCTGGATCTGGCGAACGGCACGGTGTGAGGTGTGCAGTTTGGACGGAAAAACCGCGAAGTGTTTGAAGGTCAATCCGATAATAAAGCAGTTACTTGGTGATTGTGAACAAATATCCTGCTTCATTTTTGGGGGGAGTTCGTTTCAGAATGATCACGTTGCCCTAAAAGAAGAAACGTGTCATGCACAAAGCATCGAAAGTTTCATGCCCAGACACGACTAATGGGATTGCCAACTCTATGCCGCCCCATTGATCCCCCTGGAACTACCCCAACTGATCCTGGCCGTTTCTCGGCAGTCCGTCCTGGCAGTCCCAGACGGGTCGCGTCTGGGTTGGAGTAGATTTGTTGATTTACCTTTTGATCGATTCTTGAAGCCTGCCTGGGGTGATCTCCATGTCGGTTGTGACGCATGACTGACCGGTGAAACCGATGCATGACTAAAGGGAACAGATGCATCACCGCACAAAGCCGCAGTGGAAGAATGTATACCCGAGAGCCCTAGAGCCTTCACAAACCATTGTATCAAAGGATGGTTTGCCTATGTTTGCCTGGTTGTCTAGTGTAATCCTTAGGAAAACTAATGGTTCTTTTAGGTTCTTTTGTAAAGACAACAAAATCAATGGTTGTTGGAATCCTAGGGTATATTATATAGGTGGTAGATCGTGCAAAAGTGGAAAACAAGGATATCCTCCTCCCGCCAACCGCCAACCATGGCTCACTCGACTCATGAGTGGCCTTGGCCGGCACACACTTGGTTGATGCGCTCTCTGTCTTGCATGAATCTCTCCATAGCGCTGCGTCTTGGTCCTTTTTTCTGTGGCCTCCGCGGGTGCCATGGCGATTCACTTGGGCGTTCATGGTCCCAAGTCAGTTTCCTGAAGCTGAAGCTGGGCAGTTATCATTCGAATGAAGCTTGCCTTTCCACCTTTTCACATCAGCCCCGTGGCTGCTCTACCCAGCCTTGGATGTGGGACTCCCTTTGGCGGCACGCAGTTGATGATGCCCGCACCCACCGGCACGCAGTTGATGGCCACCGGCCCATTTGGGCCGTTTCGATCAGTGGCACGGATCCCCAACTTCTTGGTCCACGTCGGGCCCTCCGCACCGTGTTCCGTTTCGGCGCCCTTCCAGGGAGACGAAATGGCTCGTCTGAATGGCTCTGGCCTTCGTCATCCGCAGTCTGCGGGGGTCAGCCGAAGGTCTCCGTTTCTGGCTCAGTCTGAAGTTCACTTCTAGACCTACCTCGACCGAAATGGACCGTGCAGTCGTGAATCAGATTGATTCATACCCCACGACACATGGGACTGGCATATTCACCTCACCCCGAAGCTCAACCAACCCAATGTATGTAAATCTGCCAGTCCCATGTGTCATGTCTGGCATATTCATGGTTATTCATCACCCTACAAGTCAAAGACCTCACTTTACTTGAGATGGTCATACAAAACCAATACTTAAGAAGGTAGCTTCTATTGGGTCTTGGGACTTGGGATCATGTTCAAACCAAGTCTTGCTCTTCCCGAGCAAAGGTCTGCTCGCCCGCGACAGCCCGCTCGCCTCGACTGCCTCAGGGTCCATGGAGCCTACTATGGCTGGGACGGACGATCTCGGATGGCTGGGACCAAAAAGTGATAGCATTTCGCTATGAAGGAGGTCGACCATGCGCACCTCACCCATACGTGTTCTTTCTTGGTTCTGAGGAGGTCCTCACACTGGAGGTCCACCATACAGCCGTAAGCCACCAACAGTGGCTCCCTGCAACATCAACAAATACCAACAGTGCAGTGGCACGTTCATCGGGCGCGCCTCGTCTGAGCTTCGTGAGCTGTCTTGAGCCCGTGGACGGCAGTCGCCAGTGGCCGGACGAATTCAGTGCAACGTGTGACGCTGAGTCGGAGAGTCTGTTTGTGAAGTATCGTCTTGGCGTTCCGAATGACTTCTTAGCTGTTGAGACGTCTCTAGGCCGCAATAATCAATCTTGGGGATGATGTGTTGGAGCTATTGAAACATGGCAGCGGCATGTACTGAGACATGGTCTATCGCTTCCATGGATTCTTTTCATGGATCGCATAGATGTGTTCCCGTAGTAGTCTAGGTGGCTTCCACCAGTCCCAGAAATGCAAGTATAGAGTGAGGTCCAGAGACTATGCCTATAGTATGATCTGGCTGATTTATCATACTTCACCAGAAATGAATTGATTTTGATGAATCTCACCATATCCGTGAGGCTCTTACGGCAGACTTGACCTACAATGATGGGTGCGCAAAAGGTAAGCACTTCTGGTAATGAGTAACAGCTCAGTATTAATTTAATACTATAATTTGTAATACTCATGTTCTGAGATTGTACTCCCTATAGTCGTCAACAGGGAGCCAGTATCGACCAACCAACTGTAGCAGTGGATGATCTGCAAACAGCCACAATCCGCCAACGGGACAGTCTTCCACTGCGGTTCTTTCGCAACTTCCCAATTCCAGTTCAGTTGGAAGGTTTTGGGGGAAGGCCTTGAAGTGGAACTCAGCTACTCAACGTCTGATGCAGTTGACTTCTGAAACCTTTGCCTTTCACGGCATGAGATCCGCGCGCGGAGGGCCGAAACCCAAGCCCTCTACCAAACGGCGGAGACCGGAGATCGTAGGGCACGCGCGACACGTTTCACGGCGAAGCGAAGCAACACGGTGATCCCCTTGGGTGAGAAGTTATCACCAGAAGCTGCCAAACTGACAACGTGTATAGTAGACAACATTTGAACTGTTGATTCGTAAAACCTCCGCCCTTGCACTACAGTACCAGAATGGTGTTACAACTCCATGTATGGGCTGATTTTGATTCATCCACCGTCTACACAAGGATTCTGGGCATGTTTGATCTACTCACGTCAGGCCTATAACCTCACTTCAAAGGACCACGCGGGGAGCGAACGAGCGACGAGCGATGATGGTCGCTCATCGGTGGCACATGGTTGTAGATGGGTCTTCACAATCCCATCTTGAACCGTAAAATTGAGTCAGTGAACCCCTCATCGAAAGACTGCGTACTTGCAAGGATGACAGAAAAGCACTTACAACTTACAGAAGGTGAACCAAGTAGATGATGCTATTCACATCCAAATCCAAGCCGTCCAACCATCTACTGGTCTTTACCTGACAGATGCACAAATACTGGTCTTTGCCTGGCAGATGCACACCCCACGAATCCTCATGAACAAAAACGAAAACAACCTTCTCAAATGGCTGTGGGTCAAAAGACCGGAACCCCAAAGAGGTAATTCTGTTCCGGGAAGAGATCTATACCCAGACACGACCAATGGGACTAGTATATTTACCTACATTGGGGTGGTTTCAGGGGTCAATGTGGGCATATATTCCAGTCTCATGGAGTGTCTGGGATATATACCTGGAACCCATTGGACCTCTGTTTTGATAGGAAAAACAACATGTTTTGGCTCCCCACCACATCGGGGTCCATCAGGTTCTAAGCATCTTTTTTGTCCCAGGTCAGGGGATTCACCCGGGTCGGGAAACAATGAACATCCTCAGCAAACCAGGTCTTGGAGATGCAACATAAATGGTGGAACACTGCCACCGAGGACGGGGAAAAACAGGTTTTTCATCGGGATGAAACACATCGGTCAATGTGGGTCATATATGGGCAAAAACACAGCAACAAACCTGGGATTCAGGAGATTTTTCAAGATCTAGAGATGTTCTTCTTCTTCCCCCTCATGGAAGCCACACATAGAAGCCACAGCATTCGGATTAGGTTCCCAGAATCCAGATGAGCTAGTGAGCAGGGTCTGGGTCTACACAACTCGATGCGGGCCCAAAAAGGGATGGAGTTGGCTATCAAAACGGTCCCTTGAACTCCTGGTTCTTCACTTGAACAACTGCATAAAGGTGGAGACAGGCCAAAGACGCTCAGAAGAGCAGAAGCCAAGAGAGGATATAAGTGAACCGTAAATAGGACCCATCACCTGGGGTACCCAACTGGGATAGTGGAACAGTGCTTCAACCTCTGTGGGAAGAGAGACAAAAATACTCCAGACAGGTGGAGAGGTGATCCTACGCACTTTTCAAAGATGGAATCCTGTGACTAAAAGGAACTCTTCATCGAGTTCATGGGACTTGGAGGTTTACCCGTTTGACCCACAGCCAATTTGTTGTCGTTTTTTTTGCCTGGATTTGTGTATGTCAATCTTTTGGGTATCGGTATAGGTTCGATATCTTACATGACATAAATTACACCCCGCCTGTCCTGGATGGCCATTGGCAGGGTGGTAGGCCGGACCAGCCCTTTTTACACCCAACGCAAGTTGGAAGCTCCGGAGAACCAAACTGATCTGGTTGGTGGTTTCAATTCACTCGGAAAAACTGATTCAGCTTAGTGGCTTAGTGGGTGAAAAATCATCTCAAAGTAAAGGTCGAAAATACATTAAACATACCAATCTCTGAAACCACCACCTCTAGTGCTGGGTAACTTGGATCCCAAACGACACCTCCCAGATCCTTCGTTCACGGAACCGGTCGTAACGAAACCAAAACCCTCCGGAACGTCGGAGCCCCCAGGTGCACCTGGCTTCTGACGCCCAGGTGACTCGAAACAAAAACCGCCCAGGCTTCGTCGTCCCTCGACGCGCGCCGAGTCCGGCTCTCTCTGGCGCCTGGGCGTCATGGCGAACGGTAAAGCGTGCGGTGGCACGAGACGCCATGTCCTGGGCACCTGAGCGCACGGTCCGCGGTCGACGCATGGTGGGCAGGGCGGCCAGCTGCGGCATGGTGAACAGTTCGGTGAAGCTTTTTGAAGCTCCCCAAGCCACAAGTCAAACCCTTAAGTGTATTCAGTCTTCACAGAACATGCAGAAGCATCTCCTCTATCAATGTGGACTCAGTCTGGTGGAAAGACGTTCTTTCTTTAATGACGAAGATTGACCAAGCTGCAAAGAACAGGTCTTTATGACCAGGTCATAAAGCACCCTTCGATAGTGTCAGACCAAATTGATGTCCCACCAGTCTCAGACCAAACCATGGGGAAACCATTTATACAACACCTGCATTTCTTGTACCTGGAGTTGACCGGTGAAAGTACCTCAGAACATGGGTACATGTATACCGTATACTTGTTAATTGTCCCATTTTCTAGAGTACTTTGGAGGGTCCAGGCAGGATGGTGCTGCAGGATCTTTGTGCTTCAACTCGCATTGCATGTTTCGGCACACATGTCTTCCTGAGTCCTCCGAAAGAACAGAACGGTTGGACCGACTGGGATGGATATTATTGATATAAAAACACATCGTGTTTGGGCTCTGAGGCAACCCAAACGGGTAGATACATCTCGATTCTGCAAATCTGCACAAATTCCATATACATGTACTATATTCGCTTGACTTATATACCCCCAATGTCAAGATGATTTTCCACTTGAAATGGGCAGTTATTCATCAAGAAGCTACATGACCGATGGGAAAGGTCGGATCGCTCTACCGACTACCGACCGCTCGAAAACCGCTGACACCGAATCCCAGGTCCGTCCTGGTCGAGATAGACCATCCATGTCTCACTTTTCTCTTCTTAGTTTTGGATCTGGATGGTTCTATCTCCTTCAGTTTTTTTGTCTACACGATGAAAACGCCCATTCTGACGCCCACCAGATCATTTTTGGATCCTCGCGCTCCGCAAATGCACAGCGACTCGGTGATTAAAAAGATGTAAATCGATCAAGCTATGTGGCTATGGGTCAAAATGCCTCGTTTGTTGAAATAAAGGGCCTTGTCAGAGCCTTGGGGGCTTAGGTGAAGAGCTTGCGCTGCAGAGTTCCGTGGCTTCGGACCCATCGCCACGTGACAAACATCCAAAGCCCACCCACCTCCTGGTCTGGCTCCCCCTTAGAAGAGTGATGTTCTGGGGCGTTGAAAGGATGGGGATGGGGTGTTTGGACGTTGTGACGATACCGACTAGACCTGCTCACATGCCAAACTCGAAAGCTTCATGCTCCGTACATGCTCCTTCACTTGGAAAAGGCGTGACGCACACGCAGACACATCAAGCTGCTTGGTGGTGAGCTACTCATCGGAGACATATTATAGGATGCATTGTGCAAAAAAACATTCAACTACCAGGACTCTCCAAGAGGTGTCTGTAAATAGCCTCTTGGAGGTTAAGAGGAGTCCAAAAACCACTCGTTGGAAGGTCCTGGTCTGGTAGCAATGTGTTTTACAAGACTTCCTCTTTATGCACCACATGCCAATGCTTTGCAGCAAAAACTATCGCCCATGTGCAGCCGAGCACGTAGCTTTTCAAGCGTAAGACCTCATCAAAACCGTGTGGAGCCGATCCGTCGAGCCGACCGCACGACCCGTCAAGAGGAGCTGAGCTAGAGCGGGAAGACACAAAGCATATTGTGTCCATCACTGAACCGCCCACAGCAGGTCATCTGTGTTGCTTTTTCTGTCGATCTTTTTGAGCCGAGCTCCGGTGGTGGGCCCCGTCAAACATGGGGATCGATTTGGTTTCCCAAACTCCTGAAAAGGCCGCACTGGAAAAGAGTTGGTGATTAATTAGTTTTCATATGTTTTCATGTAGTCCAGAGTCTAGTGGATTGCAATCTATAGTGGCAATAGTTCAAGTTTGAAGCATCCTCCACTGGACCTTGAACAGTCTTGTGGTAAATAGTTCAGGTTCAACCTCGCGGAATCGATTATCTTCATAAAACAAAATGGACATGATTCTTACCGAAAAAGTAGCTGTTGAGCTCCGAACAGCTCTGGAGAAAGTTACCAGGCCCTGAAAAGATCAGCACACTCCTGTAACCCATCACTTGCAAGTGTTTAACCCTGCATGAGTGGATTAACCAATCCGTAGACCAAACATGCGAAAAAAAAAAAAAAAACAAACGTATCAAAACACCAGGGAGATGAACTACTTTACCATGGGACCATGGGACCACTGTGATCTTTGACTTCATTGCTTTGCATCATGCTCGCGCACGGCCCAGCTCCTTTGAGGTCCACTCTTCTTCGAGCACTCACTCTGTACCTTCAAAAGGCCGGTGGCACGAGAGAGGCACGGTGCGACGTCCATCACGCTGCGCAGCTTCCCATCACGATGCGCATCACAGAAAGGTTGATGACAAACAAGCTCCAGGATCAACAAAGCTATAACCTACACGTCATGAATGATCAATATCTAATGAGCACTCTAATAATAAGCTTAAATCTGCAAAAGATTGCTACATGAAGTGTGTACACACAATCAAAAGTGTTCGCTACGTGGTACTGGTCTTCCTTCCGCACCAACCCGTCTGTCTCCATGACCCGGCCTGGACGACCTGCCCACCGTATCACCGCGCAGCACTGCTCAGCGGTAGTGCTGGACGAAGGAAGCATCATCACCTCGGGTGGTGGGTGGCGGTCCCAACATGTGGCGGTCGGAACGGTCCCAACATGTGGCCCAGGGTTTATATCGTCCCAGGCCCAGAAGTGCCAGAAGTGCCCGGGAGGTCATTAAACAAGTTCAATGAGGTCATGGACTTGCAGGGATTCAACATCTTTATGCAAGAAGTGCCTGGGAAGCCAGCGGACCAGCGGACCAGCGGATTGATCATCCATCCTTCACGGAGGTTGGAGTCATGCAAACATCAACGTGGAAAACCATCGGATGCCTCAGAAATATCGATCTACCCAGTCGGGCTCCAAGTGCTACACCCACCGTCCCACCTTCTTAAAAGGTAGCCCTATCTAGGGCTAGAGAGTCGAACGACAGTCCATGAGGATCAGGCTCCGTCCGCATCCTCCGAGTTTCGGTGTGACGAACGGTGACTGACTCGGTGGGTGTGATGTCGTACGTTTTCGTGGCTTCTCAGGTGATGTGTTCGACACTGGTTATGTAGGTGGGAGGATCCAGTCAGCCAACCGTCGTGCCTTCTCTCCGAAGGTACGAACATGGGATCCCTAGGGAAGGATATGGAAGGATCAAAGATCTCCTCGGAGTTAGAGTTTTAGGGGAATACTGATTGGTGCTGAGATGGTCCAGGTGCAGTTCCCTGGAAGCACTCGCCTACCGGCATGGTAGCTGCATCTACCTGCCGAACATCAAAGACACATAACAACCATATTTATCTAAACAATGGATGGTTGGCAGTTTCAACCCAGCTGAAACATATGTTGGATATTGATGGATTATGTTGGTCATGCACATCCCAGGCAAAGGTCCAACCTATTTGTGAATGTGTTTGATGCCATTATATAGGTCTTTGATGTCATTAGCTAGGTGCAAAGAAGAGGTTCCTTGCGCCAAACAACTGCTGAAGAGCTGCCATGGCTGTCCTTTCCTCTTCATCCACTCTTGCTTGACTGACCCGAATTATTCTGTAGCAGTCTTGCTCGAAGTACCTTCGACTCAAGGCCTCCAAGCTCGTTGTCCCACCGGCTCGCTTAAGCCCTTTCAATGAATTGGTCCCAAGAGAACATCTGCAGGAAACCCATGTTTTCACCCCCCATTTCATGTTCCCTTAAACCAATTCCCAAGGGGAGCCCAAGCAGGACAACCCTGCTTAACACACAGAGCCTGAACCCCAAATGGATCCAACCCACTTCGGATGGATGCTGAGTCAGAGAACCTCCATTGCAGTAGAGCACAACTACTATATAGGTAAACCACCAAGAAACCTCAAAGGGTGACAATCTGTGGCAATGGAACCCCTAGGAAAAACAATGAAAAACATCTATCAAGATCTATCAAGATCTGCTATTATCTGTTAGTTGTAGTGTGTGTTTTTGTGTTTCCGCGTTTCTATGTTTGAAACCGCCTGCAGATCAAGCAACCCCATTCGGCCAAGCATCCCCATTCTGCCATGGTCTTCTGGAGCTCTTTCGCCTCCAGGGGAACCTCACCCTCCTGCGGGCCCCGTGCTGCCGCGACCGGGCTCCGGTCGGCGTGGTCGACGTGTGGCGCATGGGCGCCCGTGGCTGAAAACAACCGCAACGAAGGGGAGAAAAAACTATGGCGGTATCAGTGGGAGAACAGTCGAGAAGACCGAATAAAACACACAAACACCAGGTGATACTTAATAAAGGATTGACCCTGAGTATGAAGAGTTACACTCAAATCAGAAAATTGACACGGCCTTGGCCTTAGGCTTCGGCACGTTGTTTGGTCAATAGTGAATTAGGGGAACTCTTTGATCGACCAGAAATTCGAACAGGACCTGGGAAATAGCCCAAGAATCATGAAATAGTTCTTGGGACTTGCCAATCTTCTTTCAAGTGAAATTGTTGACTTAGCCTTGCTTCCTAAAACCTATATAAAGTTTTTTTCCAGATAATCCTCGTGAGAAGCTGCTTGGAAAGCCCGTCCTGCTTGGAATCTTGGTCCAACAAGCAGCAGTGCAAGATCGTGGTCGTGGCCACACCTGGCAACGTCGCATCTTGAGGACCTCCAGAAACAAACTTTCCACCCTGGGACCCACAGATCTCCCTCTCCGGGATGAAGTTCCTCCAAAATCCGATCTTAGCGGAAGTCCCACCATGACAGGTCCCACGGTCTTCACCAAGGTGCTGTAGGGATGGAGCAGGGACTCCGCGGCCAGGTACGCGCTCAAAGCCACAGGGCCCAGGCCTCTGCATGTGGATCTGGGTCACCACCGCTGCAGCTTTATTGATGGAGACCTAAAACTTCCAAACAAGAACATGCATCAAACAAAAAAAAACTTAACCAAGATTGACATGGTGTTGTTCCCCTATAAAGGCCTCATACTCAAATGGAGACGACAATGGTGACAAGGGCAAAGTCTCCTTGCATCTCTGCCAGCTCATCACTCCATCCGCCACTAAAGCTCACCTCCAACCACAAAATAGTTGGGCACCCCCATGACTCCCTCCTTTTCCCTGGAAAATACCACCGGGATTAGTGGAGTGTCCCCAATCTGCTCCCGGTTTGGGTGATCCACTTCTGGACTCCCCCAGAACTCCACCTGTCCAAAGCGGACTTCCCAACGCCGCCTTCCACGACTTGCCTCCCCCGTGCGAGAACACGAGCTGGCTTTCCACCGCTCCGCTCCGCCCCTGGGCGCGAGCTGGCGCTCGCCTGCCACGCCCTCCAGTCCACAGCAGCTGGCGACGACGAGCGACATGCAAATCAGCAAGAACTCACAGGCGCCTCGGCTGGTCCGATCTTCGCGAAGAGGCGAGAGTGGTCGGACACCGTCCAGATGCAGATGGCGTTTTCCTTGCGGCTTCCGACGTGTCGTCCAAACGGAACCATTTGCTGGGCGGCTTGGACAAACACCCGGACCGGAGCCGATGCGGGCCTTGGCGCACGCATGAGCATCGGGATGCGATGGGTGAGATTTGTGACAGGAAGTGATGTGTTCTCACCACTTTCTGCTTGAGCCTTGGGGGTTTGCCTCAAAATCTTCAAGTCAGTCTCCGTTGACCTTCTGGCGTCGTTGTGGCCTTCATGGAAGTCAACACGCCTGGTCTATTCCTCAGGTTGGTTGGCAAGCCAATGGTCTTGAGACTTAACAACCCACCATGTTGTTGTTTACCCTGGCCGCTCATGTCCGAAATGTTTGTTCGATGAAGGCCAGTGTTTTTCACCATGGTTCACTAAAGGCTGAGCTACAGCAGCAGGTGAACATGACGCTTGTGGATGGGATCTTGGCACATTCAAGCATACTCCACTTGTACAGATCTACTTGAAGAGTCATGGTGTTTATGGCCGGCAGAAGGTTCCACCGAATCCCTGACATCTTCCACACAATAATACTTTCTGCCACTTGCCCAAACCGTGTTGTATTCCGATATTCCCTACATTTCCGTACAAATGCGTTGGTACTCGAGGTACTCCAACTAAAACGACCAAAGTACACCTGCTTTGGTCCCCTGCTTTGGTCCGAAGCTCGCTCCGTCGCCCTCGTTCCCTCGTTCTCTCGTTCCGAGTCAATGGGGGTCATCGACCTGAATCCTTCGGAATCCCTTCGTCACTGCCCAAGGAACGCTGAAAGACGTTGGACAAGGCCTCCACCATCAAGAAACCTGGGAAGAAAAAAGGTCAGAATAACACCCCAAGAAAGGACACGTAGGAACAGGATATCCAGGATATTCCAGGATATGTAAGTAGACAAATTGAAAAAAACATGCAACAACCACTGATAACCAGCTCTATAGTCAACAGAAATTGTTTCATCACAAGGTAAAGTGAAATCAGTCAACAAACACTGACTGACTCAAGGAACGAGCGTCTCGGAGCCTGTCTGATTTTTGGTGGTCGAGGTGAAAAACATCTGAGTTGCATTAAAAAAATCCCGTATATATATATATATATCAACGATGGTCAACGTGGATTGGTTCAAAGTGGGTTTAGGCACACTGCTGTCACACAGGACCGACACTCTTCTGGGACATTTTGTTTGTATAACACTCTCGTGGCACAGTCTTGTGGAACACTTTTGGGGAAAACCCTTGCACACTCTTGCGGGACACTCTTGTAGGACACTCTTGTTTGACACTCTTGTCAGAAAATGTTGCAGGGCACTCTTGTAGGGGACACTTTTGTGGGACACACTCGTAAAAAACTCTTGGGACACTCTCGCACGCCACTCTTGTGGGGCGCTCTTGTCGGGAAATTTTGTACGAAACTCTGGTACAAATAAATACCAAACCCTGGCTCAACGATCCCCACTGGTAGTGGTTCCCAAACAACATACTACAGTAACTCACATGAGGGCCACCATCCAACCAGTGCCCACAGAGGGAATTGTTGCTTGATTAGTTTTAAGTATTTCTCAAGTTTGTCTTTGAATATATTGTGTTTTTAGGGTAATGTGGCAAAATAAACGCGCACACAACCTGCAAGTACCGTAGACACGTCAGAAAAGTTATCCCGCAAGAGACCCCAAGCAGTGTGTGTGAGGTCTAGGGGTGTAGTAGCAGAAAGTCTAGAAGACGCATTGGGGTCCAGAGAGGTGATGGTGGTGAAGGTAGAGATCGTGGTGATGGTGGCGGTGGTGGTGAGTGAGTGGCCTGTTGTGAGTGTGACCGTGAGTGCGAGTGAGAGTGGGTGAGTGGGTGAGTGAGAGTGAGTATGAGTGTGAGTGAGGGTGATAGAGTGAGAGAGTGAGAGAGCGAGTGCGTGCCTGGGTGGGTGGGTGGGTGAGTGTGCCTGCCACGAAATCTGCACTTCGAACTTCACAAACTGCTGTGCCTACCGCGAAATCTGTTTCCCCACCCGTCAAATGAAGGTTGTTAGATTTTGTGTCAGCTGCATTCCGCCTCGCCCGCCTCCGCCTCCGCCTCGCCTCAACCGCGAAGGCCACGTGGCAGCAGTGTGCCCCGTGGGACCTCAGCTGCAAAGGCCGCGTGGCAGTGAGCTGGCAGTCTTCTCCGCCGGACCTCAACCGCCAGCTCCCGAGCGCACTGGGCGTTGCCGGACCACAAACACAACCAAAACCACAACCACAAACACACACAACCACAAACACATCCACAAACACACAACCACAACCACCAAAACCACAACCACAAACACACACAACCACAAACACATCCACAAACACAACCACAACCACAACAGCACAATCACAAACGCAACCACAAACACAAAATCACAACACACACCCACAAACATGGTAACACGGCTGTTTGCAACCGTGCATTCTTGATCGTGGGTCGTGGGTGAGCAAATCGCCTGCGTTTTGGGTACGTCTCTAAAACATGGAACAAGACCGGATAAACATCAGCTGGCATGCAGTCACGCACAAATCCACATTGATGCAAACCCCGCAGAGAAGAAAGGTGAGTAAGGATCTGGCCCGCACGAACTCCAGCCCAGCAGCTGTAAGCAACTGGCGTCACAAGTCTCTAGGCTTTGGTCTTTTGGAGCGTCTCAGCAGCGCCGGCCGCGGAAGGGGTGGATTGTAGACACCCGTGAAACATTGTAGGAAAATGTTTAAACACAAACCTGGGTGAGGCTGGCTCCCAGGTCTGCCAGCCACTCCAAGGGTCAGTGGTCACATACCGCCAGGACAGCTGCCATCCACCTCCTTCTGCACGCTGCCACCATGCCACCAGCCCAGGGTGTACCATCCCCACACAGCTGTGGTCGCACAGGCCAGGCCCCCGACTGGCCCTCCATGTAGTATAGAGGAAGGCTTGGCTCATATTGTACTTGGTGGTTCGTTTTTACTTGTGGCACTTGCAACTTAGTTAAGACACTTATAGGACTTAAGCAACTTGTAAGTAGTACTTAGGGAACTTAGGTTTTATTAGTTTTTTAATTTTAACCGTAAGTTGTATAAATTACTTGTAACTAACTTATAAGTTCTGTAAGTTCCTGGACGACCAAAAGTATAGTCTCAGACAAGTTTTTTAAAAAAAATAGAAAAACTACATTTTCGTCTTGAGATGGGCAGGCAGCTGTGAGAAAAACTAAGTGTTCGTTTGCAGATCCACGTGCCTTCGTGTCAGACCGCATGAAGCGCAGCCATAGCAAACACTCCCTCAACACCTCAAGCTGGAAGTCTGCATCTTTCTCAAACCAAGGCATGACAACCATGATGTTGGCCACGCTCATCCGAACATGTTCTGCGCACAGGCTGGTCATGTCTACCAAAACTGCTCTTGTTCTTTGAACTTCAATGGCAACTGATGTTCAATGATTGTTTCTTCAGCTTGATTCAGCTCAACCCTTTGAAAAATATACAGGGGTTACATATAGGTTGGCTGGTGGTCAATTGATGGGTTAGATCTAGGTTGGCTGGCGGCCCATTGGGCCGCCCAGATGTGTTGGTCAATTGATGGGCTAGATCTAGGTTGGCTGGCGGCCCATTGGGCCGCCCAGATGTGTTGGCTGGCGGCCCCAGTGGAAAAATACCATATACTCTGGACCTTATGCAAAGGGTCCTGTACCAAAAGTACTAGTCCTTGAAAAGCAATGCATCAAACATAAACCTTGATTCATTTGCCATTGAACCATTCAAAACAGAACTACCATAGCTTCACCTGATATATCTAAATATTCGGGTTGCTGACCAACAACTTTCACACACTATAAAATTTGACTAGCCGATTGTTTTCACATATCACGGAATCACAAATGTATAAAAATGTATAAAAATGTATAAAAAATGTATAAAAATGTATAAATCAAAGCGGACCTAAATTTATACATGTATAAATCAAAAAAATATCAATTTATACATGTATAAATCACCCCATTTTCAGTTTATACATGTATAAATTGATAACGAAATCGATTTATACATGTATAAAAATGTATAAAAATGTATAAAAATGTATAAATTCAATTTCTGAATTTTAAGCATTTTGCTTGTCATGCGATGAGCTTTTATCAAATAGAATTCATTTCTCAGAGTTGCCAACCCCACCACCTCATGAGTTTAGACATTTCCTGACTCCCTGATTTTTTTAAAAATAATCCAGGAGTCAGGATTTAAGTTTTGCTGATTGAGAGCTTTGCTGATTGAGTGCAACAATGCTTTTTGTTTGCTGGCGTTTGCTGGCTCCAAGTGTGTGCTGCTCATGCGACGCGTCCTCAGCTGCCGGTACTGCTGAAGATGGAGCCTGTGCAGCCTAGGAGGATGACGTATGCGGAGCAGCTGGAGGCAATGCGGCCACCTTGCGGGTTTTGCATCCTGGCGGACGGGACCATCCTGCTGTCCAATCGGCCGGAGACCTACACGGCGGAGATGGTGGTTGATGCCTATGAGGCATGGCGAAAGATGAAGGCAAATGGCTTAGTGCGTGAGACCCGACCTGCGGCTCAATGAGTCTATTATTGAAACAAGAGCGACATCCATCATCTGCTCAAGATGGCACGCGGTTCAATGTATATTTTTTTGCAAGAGACACAACCTGCGGCTCAATGAGCCGCATGTTTTTTATACAGGAGCAACATCCATCATGAGTCAGCCATGACCATGACAAGACGGCATACGGCTCAGTGAGCTGCGTGATGAACATGTGATCGGAGCATGAACTCGATTTCAAGTTTAAGAATCAAAGTGCGAAAAGAACACGATTTGATCAGTTTTGGTGTAAATTAGAAAAACTTGAAATTTTATATCTCAAAAAAGTTAAGTTCCCTAAGTTAGTTATAACTTATTTTGACTAGTTTTTGATAATCTAGATATAGAACTTAGAAATTTCTAACTTTTGCTAACTAACTTGCAAGTGCCACATCTTAACATAAAAACTTGTGCTAGTTACAGAACTTGCAACCCCTTCGTAACTAAGTTACCAACCACTTACAAGATACTTACAAGTTCCCTAGCCAAAAATGAACCACCAAGTAAGCAATATGGTCGACCATCATCCCCAGCCGGGATGGCGCGTTCCGCCAGTCTGAAAAGAGTGATTGCTCGAAAACCAGCAACAGTTTCAGCAGCGGGACACTTTTCCAGGCAATGAACAAAAGCACGTCGCCGTTGCAAGGGCCACTCAGCTCCAGTTATCCAGTTTCGATGGCTTCAAAAATGTCAAGAAGGTCTTCAACGGTTTTGCCTTGGCCTTGAAATTAATGAGACCATCAGGGCCTCGTGCTGAGCAATCCACTCCATCCAAGTCTGAAGCAGATTCATCTTCCATCAAGTCGCCAAAATCTTCCATCAAGTCGCCAAAATGACCTCGCGTCCGGCCAGGGGCACAGGCCACAGCCGTGTGGTCCCGGAGGATTCTCTGATCTCGGAAGGAGAGAGCGGCTCCACCCCCTGCCGCCGACCCCAGGCCGACCCACCCCGACCCAGGGGGTTAGACCTATGTCAAAAAAACAAGCTTGTATGATGGCGAAATGCAAAAACCGTGTGTTTTCCAACGGTGGTGTCAGTAATGCGCGCCGCGCGGACATGCATAATCGGCATTTTTCGGCGATGGGCCCGCGTCAACATAAATTACGCAAAATGTGCCCGAAGATGATCCAACAGAGGTCCCCAAGATGACCCAACATAGGCCCAAGATGGGCCGCCGTAGGCCCAAGATGGGCTCAACATAGGCCCAAGAGGCCCACGTCGATGACGACGACGATGACGACGACGACGACGACGACGACGACCAGAATCAACAACAACAACAACAACGACAACCAGTGGTGGGCCCCTGGCCGGCTGTCGGGCGTCAGCCCTTAAATCACTCGATAATCCTTCCCTTCACCGCGCTGGCCTTACGCTCCTTCTCCTGCAGCTTCTTGGCCTTCTTCATTGCCGTGGCCTTGTTGTGCATCACAGTCGTCTCTCGGCGAGCAGCAATCTCAGGCATCTTGATTGAGCGTTAATCTCAGGTCCTCCTGAAGGCTCTGTGTACTGCGCCTGCCGCACGACCGCTAGTGATGAATGGTGTAAGATGAGTGGTGTGTGATGAGTGATGAGTGGTGTAAGATGTGTGATGA